CTCCCAAGAATGCAAAGCGAGAATCGTCCCTCCCCCCCACCATGCCTTGAGAGCACTCACTTTGTGTTTCTTTGTGTGGTCGGGAACAGTTTTAATGCTGCTGCCATCTCGCGGTGTATGTAACACCAAACAATCTTTCGCAACACTTGACTTAAATACGTTTTAGATGAGTCAACTACTAATATTTATTAGCACAGTATTAAAAAAATCTACATTTGGAAATATACTTTGAATCCTTATCCTTTTATACTGAGCTCTTTGATTGTTTTTATCTTGAAGGCAAAAAAAGAAAAAAATATTCTAGAAAATTTGAGAGACTTGCAAAATTAAAAAAAAATCCGGGAAAAAGGACTATCATAAAGGTTTTATTTAGAATCGTGTTAATCTCACGAGAGTTTTTGCTTCAAAAAATTAGTTAATGGGAGATGCAATTTTCTTGGAATAGGTTCTACTCCACCGAAAAAGATTAACATTCACATTTCAGAAAGTTAATTTTTCAAAGATGTAATTATATTAATCTACAATAATGCAACATATTTTCAAACTGTACTTTTAGAGTGTAATAATACACAAAACTTTCATACCAACCTTAAAAATGTTATACTTCCGACTGAAGTTTACAAGCATGGTATCACAGTAATTTAGTTTTGTCACGCAAAATTGCTTTTGACCGGCAGAGGGGGTGCACCGTTCCTGGAGGTACTGCAATACCAGGTCGATGCATGGAGTGGACGGAGCAAGCCCCTATTCCATCTCCCAGTTCCAAAAATCAATTTAATATATGGTCCCCGGATAGGGGACGTATCAGATATTAAACTGATAAGAACAGATACTACACTTGATCTTAGCCAAAAGGCCGAGAAGCGATAACTCCCAAATGCCACAAAGGACAATGTCTTTCCCGACAGTGCTCGCTACAGTGATGGTGACAAACGTCAAACAGCCAAAACAGAACACATTTACACACCAAACAACAACTACGCATATTTAAGTGATAATGAGGCCAACTGTGTGGTTTGCCAGCCTGCAAATGAAACAAAAGCGAAGAAACTGCTGGTTACTGTGGGTCATGTGACCCAAGAATGTCCAATAGGAAAGCAGCAATACAATGTAACCCATTTTCTGCTATCACAATGTTCTTAGGTGGACAAATAACCCAATGAGGGATTTCCAGGGATAAGACACAAATGTGGCTGTTGTTTTAATTTTGTGGTGAAAAGCCATTTGATTAACATTTGACAGAAAGACTGGAACTCATCCGGCACTCCTCAACATACTACTTCCTGTTTCCTGTTCATCAACTGATATTTGCACAACCTACCTACTATAAAGAAAGAAAAGAAAACCAATAGGACAGGTGGGATAAGCAGATCAGAAATGGATGGATGGAAGAAAACCAATAGTTAATTCAGGGAGAGAGAGAGAGAGAGAGAGAGAGAGAGAGAGAGAGAGAGAGAGAGAGAGAGAGAGAGAGAGAGTTGTAGATTTTGTTCCGAAAGAGATTGTGAGGAGTACAGTTTTGCGAGTTGTTAATCTTGAGTTAGCAATTAAATTCAGTTAATCTATCAGTCTGGTAGTTATCCATTCATTCATTTATAGACCCAGAGAGCGGAAGTTCATATATAGTCAGTCACACAGTTAGTTCACTTGTCCATAGATAAATAGTTGAGATTCACTCACTGAGTTTACTCAACTCCACTCTACCTATAGAGCACTGCTGCCATCTCGCGGGGTAACACCCAAAAAATATTTCACAACACTTCACTTAAATATTTGTTAAAACAGTATGAAAAATCTACATTTGGAAATATACGTTTGAAACCATGATTTATATGACCACCGCAAATTGTAAATACTTGATCCATTTTTTACTTAGCTCTTTATTTAGTAGAGGGGAGAAAGCAAGATGAAATTTCTTTGAAAAAAAATTGGGGGTAAAAGCATGACTTCATATTCCTTAAAAATCTTGAAAAAAAATTCATTGAATCTTTTTTCTCTTGAGGGCAGAAAAACTAAAAACAAATCTGGAACATTTGACAAAATTGCAATAATAAGAATCATCAGAAAAAAAGGAATAGAAAAAAAGTTGTGTTATTGAGAGTAGTGTTAATCCGACGAAAATTATGGCTTCAAAGAAATTACTTGATGAACCATGCAACTTTCTTGGAATAGATTCTCCCGCACCCAAAATGATGACCATGTAAGTTTTAATTTAAGTTTCAGTTCATTTTTGAAACATGTAATTATTTCCACCTGCAACAGCAGAAGCTTCGTAAATTTTTATGCTCATTGTTTTTCTAATCCTCGTAGACATGATTAAAATTTTCCTATGCATGGGATACAACACCATTATTTGGGTTAGTAGGTTATTAGTGTACATATTGCACGAGTAACAATTTTAACCTTGACCAGCAGAGGGGGTGCACCGTTCCTGGAGGTACTGCAATACCAGGTCGATGCGTGGAGTGGACGGAGCAAGCCCCTATTCCATCTCCCAGTTCCAAAAATCAATTTAATATATGGTCCCCGGATAGGGGACGTATCAGATATTAAACTGATAAGAACAGATACTACACTTGATCTTAGCCAAAAGGCCGAGAAGCGATAACTCCAACCTGCCGCAAGGGACAATCTGTTTCCCGACAGTGCCGGCTACAGTCATGGTAACAAAAGTCAAATCACCAAAACAAAACACATTTACACGCCAAACAACAACTACGCTCATTTAAGTGATAATGAGGCCAGCTGTGTGGTTTGCCAGCCTGCAAATGAAACAAAAGCGAAGCATCTGTCTGGATAATCTGGGTCATGTGACCCAAGGTGGTCCAATAGTAAACCAGCAATAAATGTATCGCATTTTCTGGTATCACAATATTCTTAGATGGATAAATAACCTCATAAGGAATTTCCAGTGTTCATACTCAAACGTGGCTGTCGTTTTAATTACTTTGATCCACATTTGACAAAAAGACTGGAAAACATCATAAGAGTGTGGAATAGGATAATGGTGTTGCTTTTCATTTCAAAGGATGATCGGAAACCGCCAGTCAGTCACGTGATCCACGTCGGACCAAAAGTAATTTCACCTCATCTCGTTGAACCACGTTTAACACTCTGAAAGAGACCAAATACCGACGAGTTGTTTTAAATTACGATGCAAAAATGGACTTCGTTCGTGTCATGCTGTGGGGAAAATTATAGTCGCTGTTTGACATACATTTGACGAAATAAACACGGTTTCGCGTGCGAGTCGCCAAACTACTTCCTGTTCCCTGTATGGTAACTGACAAGTACTATTACTAGAGCGCCACCCCGCAGTGGAGGTTAACTACACACACGTGATTGACTCGCATCAATCGCTTTTCAAACACGTTCTTAAAAATTGGTAATTTATCCTTCCAGAGTCGAGATAAAATGTAACGTTTCGGTTTGTCAAATCTTCGCGTTAATAATCAAGAGGAGTAAAAACAAATAAAAAATCCAATAAAGTCCAAAGACAAGACCATTGCCCACGCGTTTTCACTTAGAATATATCCCCCAAAAAGTATATATCCCCCAAAAAGTATGCACCCCCAAGGTGGGGGGTGAAAAAATATTTAAAGCATATATATTTGATATCAAGTTTAACTTAAGCTGTAATGGCGTCGAGGCCCATGCGTTTGTTGAAGGTCATAAGTGTCAGTCAATTATGCTATTGGGGTTAATTAGCTTACCTGCTCGGTAGAAGGTGACATACATCCAATTTAGCTGAGGTAAAACCTCCCACTTGGTCACCAGAAGGACATTTTGATGATTCGCCGGAGAAATTTCGACCGTAGTCATATTTTGTGTCGGTCTTCGACAGCGAAAATGTCTTTTTCCCCAGTTAACTTGTTCGCTATCCGCTGTGACCTGACCGTCCGTTTTTTTTTCACCTAAGTGACGTTCAGTGTCATCTGGGACATGTCGGTGTCGCTACATAAACGGAAAGGCATCAAAAGCTTATTTTTATAATCAATTGTTGTTTGCAAGAATGTTACAGTGAAAGAAAAGTAATGTTTTTGTCAAGATTGAATGTTTAATAATCATGCCTGCTTACGTAAAGAAAAACATATCCAAGGTGACTGTGACACGACTTTCAAATGGGGTGGCAGGTCAAACTGTATATTGCCTGTATTTACATTTTAAATTTTTTCATGTTTTGTTTTGCCATATTTTATTATATTGTTGCCCTGTTTGTGTTGTTAAAGTGTTAAAAACTTAAGCTAGTGATGATTAGCTGCGAAAGCTAACAAGCTAGCTCGTTACAAAAAAGGTACAGTATTTTAATCCACTGCTGACTCAAACATTTATACATGACGTCCTTCTCCATTTCATATGAAGCAATTGCTGTGCTGATTTATTCTTTTTCAAATCTGTACCACACGTTAAATTAATCATGAACTCAGTGGCAAACAAATTATTTTTGATTTCTGTGACACTCTTATCTAACACTTTATTACGTGCACAAACTGATGACCTCCAGTGCAAGACCTTCATCATAATGCAAAATCTGGATTGACACTGAGAGATATTGATTTATCTGAGCCCTCTGAGCAGGAAAGATGTTTCATTGTCATTTTCATTTTTGAAATGTCAAATAAATGTTTCACTTCCAATTTTTTTTCTGGCGTGTAAGCAATATCCTTCCGAAGGTGTTAATATTGACGCATAACAAATCATTCAGTGGGTCTTGAAAGATTAGTCAAAACAGCTGCCAGTAGCTATGGGAAACTTTGCTTTGAAAATGGCTACCAGTGAATGAGTTACACTGGATGGCAACGACATCGAATACATACTCAAACGTCTTGCCACAGTCAAGCAAACTTCCATGCGTAGGCAGGTTGCTCATGTGTCTCTGTCTGTCCATCTGTCCGTCCAGCTGTCTGTCTGTCTGTCTGTCTGTCTGTCTCTCTCTCGCTCGCTCGCTCGCTCGCTCACTCTTTCAAGTGAAACAAGTGAGTGAGTGTATAAACACACATACTTCCTGTTTGGCACGTTCTACCAGGTGTGTCACACAATGAGGGGGAGCAAGGGGCTTTCAATTTATGTTGGTGGTTCTTGTGGCCCCAGCGTCCCCGTTTTACTTACTTACTGAACTCAGTAAAGCAGGAAGGCCCGATGTCATTTGGTCTTCTTCTTTCTTGAGCTATGTGTGAGTGTGGGGACATGTTTACTCAGTGAGCTCCGGCTCAACCTGTCTGATCAGTGCATGCTGGCCGTGCAGGTATGAACACACACTCAGCAAGTGCCTGAGAGGAGGCACCAGGAAGACTCTGAGAAAATGCCGGGATCACTACTTGGCAACGACTAAAAAACCAAACGAGAACATCAAGTGGCTTAAAGGAGATTCTTCTTGCTGCTCTTCAACCAACCGATGGCTCTGAGATGCTAATGTTGCACTACAGGCTCTGGGATATCCACGACGTTGCTGTGCTCTTTTGCTTCATGTTGTACATGTGTCACCGAGGTAAGCACTCAACGTATATTCAACGATATATGAACTGTTTTCTGCCGAGGGCTACAGAAGAAGAAAAGAAAGAAATGAAACGATCTATCTCAGTTTGGTGTTCTTGGTGACAGACCTAAAAGTTATTGGATATAGGCTCTTGTAACGTTCAAATTTATTTACAATTCTAAATGAATTAAAAAATGTACAAATTGTAATTCCACTGCTTTTTACCTTTACACTTATTTAAAAGTTTTCTATAAAAAATATACAACTTAATCCTCTTAAAATTACAACTTTAATGTGGAAAATATGCAATTTTATTCTTGTAAAATGACAACTTTTTTCAAAAATTATTTGAATTTTGTCTTGTGAGATTACTACATTAATGTAAAAAAATACCCACTTTATTCTTAATTAAAAAAGCAGAATTTATTCTTGTAAAATTATTACTTTTCCCGAAAATACAGTATACTATTTTTCCCCCAAAATTTATAACCTTTAATATGTTCTACTCATTTGTCTCCACATAACAAAAGATCATCTTTAATACTGTACTATGCAATGAACGCGTTTACATGTGGCAAGCCTCCACACTTAAACTCATCTTCCTGACTGTTTACCTGCTGTGGTGCCACATGTTTTGGTTAGCGGACTTCGAATTGCCTTTTAAATATTCACGCATGAATGACAGAAGCCTATGAACTAAGAGAGTTACAGTTAACCTGCTTTTTGTTCCCGAGTGAGGAAAAAGGAAAGGGGAAGCACGCTGACCGAGTGATAAGCACGTCTGCTCCACAGTTTAGGGTTCAAATCCGGAGTCAGGCTTGTGGAGAGTTTGTGAGTGACTTTCAATCTGATTCAAATCCTGTAATCAACCTGGCCATTGCATATTATTCCACTTCTTTGTTTAAAAAAAAAAAAAAACTCTCAATATGCTTCGGATCATGTCCATCCGCACTGTGAAGTGCCGTCCAAGGAGTTCCGAAGCATTTGCCTGAATATGAGCAAAGACTTCAGATGTTGTCCTGCTGCTTTTGTCAGCAGTCTACATCATCAATAAATACAAAGGAACCAGTTCCCTTGGCAGCCATATAGCACATGCCAACACCATGACACCAGCAACAATCATACTTCACTGAGGAAGTGGTACTTTTGTTGTCGTTGCCAATTTTGTATCTTTAATTTATGTGAAACGTGTGGAATGTAGCAGTGACCTTTTTACTTTTATGACCAAATTATCATCATTGAAACTTCCTTCTGATTAATAGGATATAATTTCAACAAAGTCATCAACCAAGGCAGCGACGACAGTGATAGTGTAAAAAAATGCTGTTTACTTTTTTTAGAATCTTAATCACACTAGTTCAGCGGTTCTTAACCTGGGTTCGATCGAACCCTAGGGGTTCGGTGAATCGGTCTCAGGGGTTCAACGGAGGCTCTGCCATGGAGGTTAAGACACACCCGACCCACTTGGCCATCACTGGCTGCAGATGATCACATTACATTGCTTGTCCAATCAGTGCAGCGGGAAATTTAGTTCGCTCAGTAGTCAACGTGTGACTGTCGTGATAGTATGTCATATGAACGTTTTAATACATGCTAACTATGTTGAGCAAAAAAAAGAAAGAGGTCAGACGAATATGTATAACATAGATTCACATGCATCACGGACTATGATGGGACTCAGCGTCCTATCTGCATGATTTGTCATGCCAAGTTGAGCAACTTTAGGCTCGCACCGGCAAAACTAAAGGAACACTTCTTGAAACTGCATGGAGATTCATTTTGTGCACAATTAAAAAAACTCATACTTATGTCTTGAAATTGTATTTCCTTTTTTCTGTTTTTAATAAATGCATTTTTTATGTCTTGAATTTGTAAAAAAATCATATTTTTATTTTTCCCTCATGAAGGGTTCGATGAATGTGCATATGAACTGATTGGTTTCGGAACCTCTAACAAGATTAAGAACCACTGCACTAGTTGAATTATAGATCTACCTTTGCCAATCTTTTTTTTGTTTTGTTTTTACATAATCATGTGTACAGTACTTCTATTTAAATGCAGTGTGACTACATTTGTTCCAGTGTATTATTATGATGTCGAGATCCACGTCACTGAGACTGTTTAATCGATGAGCAATGGCACACCTTGTGCCTTTTCTCCTCCGCCCCAACCCACAGCGTCTTGGCATTCTTGGATGAAATTCCTTCTCCATGCCCCACTGAGCAAATAGTAGAACCAGATGGTCCACTGAAACACCTTTGGACAACCTTGATGAGGGGTTGGGGTATCCCAAACACACATGGCTAAAATGGGTGCCCCTCAGCGTGTTGGGGAGGTTTTAAAGTCTCTTCCAGCAGACTGCCATTTGAAATAGCACATTGTTGCAAAGTGCCAGAGGTTTTTGTGGCTCAAATTGAGGCAGACGTGATAACATTCTGATCATTTGCTCTCCCCACAAGTTCGAACATTTTTTCTGTGAAGTATTTACATGAATTTATTTTCACATTTTTAACTTCCCTTCATCATATATTACACAAAAAAAACACAATGAAAATACAGGTGGTCAATGTTAAAATAAACAGGAGACGCAGTGGTAAAACAAACCAAAATCTAGATATCAACTGATGAGGCAAGGCGAGAGACTGGTTGCATACTAGGTTTGGTTTAACCATATGCAAGAATGTAGAAATAAGCTTTAAAATGGAGATGTTTATTTCTAGATTTTCACATTTTAAAAGCAACAGTATACAGAAGTATGTATGCTATCATACATGGAAAACGTTGAGATTTGTAAAAAAACAAAACAAAAAAAACACCCATCAACTCCGAGCCAAGATGAGGGAGAGAGGAGAAGTGACAGTAAAACAGACCAAAATCCAGATGTCAATGGGTGAGGTGAGGCGGGAGACTAGTGGCATACTACATTTCGCTTAACCAAATGTGAGAATATAAAAATAAGTCTTCAGTGAAGATTTAAACATTTTACAGATGTCGCAGTTTTAATTACTGTGCATTATAAAACATGCACTCCAGGAAATGTATGTGTAAGGTTTTTATGATGTCATAACTTATGGAGCTGAAAGTGACCCAAAATTAGGAAGAGGTGACCACCTTGAAATTTTGCTCACAGGAAAAACTTTGAGAACTAACATGCTTTCTTTGTCTCCTTCCAAGCCGAGGCCATCACCATCCAGTCCCCCCAGAGAAGCCTAACCCAGTCTGTGCAGGAGGACGTGTTCTTCTCCATGAACGTGACCTGCAATGGCACCCCCACCATCCAGTGGACCTTCATGTCCAGCACAGTGAGCCGCGCCATCGGGATCTGGCAGCCAGGCGCCTTCATCAATATCACTGCCGACTACACCAGCCGCGTGGAGGCGCACGACAACGGCTCCATGGTCCTGTCGGATCTGCGGCTGCAGGACACCGGCTACTACGTGGTGACCGTCACCGACAAGACAGGTGGCAGCAAGGATGCCGGATTTGTCCTGAAAGTCAACGGTAAGTGAAAGGAGACCTGTGATGCGTTTTTTTTTTCCACTGCCATATTTAAAACATGTTCCGTGTGTTGCAACACTTGTGCCTTGTGGAAAGCCATTTTGAATATTTCTGCAATATTCTTGAAATCCAGCTCAAGATTCAGGTCCTAGTACACGCTTTGCTGGTGGAACAGCTGACGGCCTTAAGGACTCTGACAGTTTGGTTTAGTCAGTGTTAGCACAAAACGTTCAAGCTTATGCAAGAAAGCAAAGAAATGTCAGGAAAAATCTATTTGAACGGCTGAACTTTATTTGGGGTTAATCAGAGGCACTTTAAATGATAGCAGGGGTGTGTTGACTGTATGCTGACTCACATTTAACGTGCGTTTGAATGTGATTGGTTCATTCTGGACTAGGGTTGAACAATTTTGAAAAATAACATTGGTCAATTCCAAATTGTAATCACTGATGGCGTTGTGTCCCTAAATATATTTTGATGCTGATTTAAAAAATGTCATTACTTTTTTTTTTTCCATTTTTTGTTTTTCAGTTTGACCTGTAAGAGCTTGCGCAAACATGACTTTACCATGCGTTGTAATTTACAGTTATGATGTTTCAGGGAAAAATTCCGCCTCTTGCTGAACCCAACCCGTAACTCGGTAATATTACTGAATGTGTTGTGTTACAAATTACTGTATGTTATTATTATTATTATGAAAACTCATGAAAAAAATCATGGGCAGATTCAGCATTAGCACAAAAAATAATTGGCAAAAATGTACTTGCATTTCTGATTTTAAAAAAAATTGTAAAAATTAATCAGTATTAAAAAAAAAATCTGCTTATTATTCTTAGACATACATTTTTTTCAGTCTCATACAGTAGGCTAGGCATGTGGTTCTACATTTTTTTTCAATGACGTATGCCTGGTAAATATTTTTTCAGATTTAGCTCCTAACCAGCGCATGTTTAAACTGGAATGACACTTGTAGTGGTATTTCTGGAACTACAGGTATTTGCAAATAAAAAATGGAATGAATGGATGAATGAATAAAACGATAAATAAATATTTGTGCACAAAAATAACAAAGTCTCCCCCTTTGGGATCATAGTACAGATCTGTTCCCCAAAAGAAATAATTAACTTTTACCAAGCGTCAACACAGAATTGTTTCACTAAAGTGGGTGTTTTTGCATTCAGTGAGACCTTTTAGTGAGACACTCGGGGTTGTGCCTCCCTGAGGATTGATCAAGCTCTTTTAGGCCTGGATGCTACTTTTTAAAATAGATCTGAAAATCTCACTCAATTGCTGAAGTACCTTCATGTAGTCCCAGGGGTACCTGTACCCCTTTTTGAGAACCACTGGCTGAGGAGTATGCTAAAATAAAGGCAAATGTACCATGAAACAATATGATGGACTGTTTATCTACTTCATATAGAGTTGTTAACTTACGAAACAGACATGAAGTATGTGCAAAAAACACAAACAGCTTTCTCCGTTGTCCTCCCCAGAGGTTCTTTACGAGGACCTGCAGTACCTGTCGGTGTCGGCCTTGGCGCTGGGCTGCTTGGCAGCCATCCTCATGCTGGCCATATGGCTCTTGGACAAAGCCTACACCAAGATTGTAGCGTGGCGACGGAGGAAGGAGATGCCAGGTGGGAGTCTATTTCGTGGCTAACTCCAGAAAAATGTTTCATTTTAGTTTGAACTAGAATGCCGGGTTGCACTGGGGTCAAAGGTAGAATTCTTAACTGCGCCTTTTGGTCCTGTAAATTGTAAATCCCTGTTGTGGCAATGATGGTGGTAGTGGACCAAAAGTATTTGCCAACTGCCAACATAAAGGATGAAAAGAAACGGAAGAAGGATGAAGAAATCATCGAAGTATTATTCATGGTCACAAATATGTGACGTTTGTTTTCAGTTTGTTGCTCCATCAAGGATTTACTGTTTATAGCACCAAAAGGCTCAATAACCGATCAGGATTTTACCTTTGGTCACAATGCGATGCAGGACTGTAATTACGGTAAACCACTTTAAACTCAGAAGGGAAACATTTCCATACTTCGAAGTGGAAATTTCTAATCCAACCAGAACTGGTTTGCTGCTGTCAACACAATTTGGTGCCAGTCCAAGCTTTAGTTTTACAAGCTTCACCTGAGTATAAGTCGCAGAACCAGCCTAACTATGAAAAAAAAGTGTTTTTAACAGATTTCTCGAGACCCACAGAATATTGTGCTCTATGAATATTTATGCCAGGACTGTAATTGGTAAACCACTTTCAATTCAGAAGGGAAACGTTTCCATACTTCGAAGTGGAAATTTCTAATCCAACCAGAACTGGTTTGCTGCTGTCAACACAATTTGGTGCCAGTCCAAGCTTTAGTTTTACAAGCTTCACCTGAGTATAAGTCGCAGAACCAGCCTAACTATGAAAAAAAAGTGTTTTTAACAGATTTCTCGAGACCCACAGAATATTGTGCTCTATGAATATTTATGCAGCAAATCTACCAAGAGAAAAAAACACTCTGTTCTTTCACCAAAGAATAAAATTACATTCTTGCTTTTTCTGTTTTTTAGTAATCCGAAATTGGTTTCACAAAATTTTGCCCAAAAATCAGACAAAACAAACATATCAAGCAAAACAGTGACTTTGTTGCTAACATTTTTTGTGACAGCTTTAGCATCCTAACAGTAGTTTCACTAAAAATAAATAAATAAATAAATAAAATCAAAATAATTTAGAAATGGCTTTTCATCGCAAAATAATCAGGTATTGTCATACAGATTAATTCAGTGCATTTGTTGAGATGAGTTGAGATGAGTTCACTACCACAATACTGTACAGCCCTCGCATCTTGAGTTAGGGCTCGGAAGTCCATTCCAAAAATCATCCCGACAACAACTCCTACCTCAAGGCATTGTTGTACTGGAAAAATTGGCATAGGTATAGTAAGTAACACAGTATTTGCACAGTCTTTGATTTCTTGTCACCACTGCCTTCAACTTGTTTACTCAGATTGCTACAGACACAATCTATTGTGTGGAAGGCCATAATCAGGGCTGTCTGGCTGTGAACGTGGGTTATCTATTGTCGACACTTCGGGTGTGTTTTTGAGTACAAAGGTTGCTGAGAGTCTCAAGTGACTCTGTGACTGACAAATGACTCTGCCCTTCTTTTCTTGTTGCAGCAAATGACGCAACGGAGCTGCAGCCTCTTTGAGACGTTTGCCCAGACTACTTTTTCCACATGGAATAGGAAGGACCGTCTTTTTTTTTCTTCAACGCAATGGCTTTGATGTACGAAAACTGAGACTGAGGTGCTTGATTGTTTTTTTTTTTTTTATACGTGTTCATCACTGTAAATATAAACTGTATTTATTGCCAGAGCATAAGTGATTGTTTGGAGTAACTGCCTGCTCACTAGGTCACTTGTGTGTTCCCCTCAACATACACAAGCACGGACTTGCACACAACATTGGTCATGTGACATCAACAAAGGACAAACAACAGAGGCTCTCAAACTTTTTGGGGCCAGGGACCCCATACAAGAAATACATTTCTCAAATGACCCACTTATAATAAATATAGCAAAGCATGGATACATATCTAAAAATCTAAATGGCGTAGGAATTTAACAAAAAATGTGACTTTTGGGGGGCAAGTCTTGATATCTTTTTATATAGTCATGGTTTAACAAGGGAGGAAAGTTGTATTTTAATGACAGAATAAAATTTCCGGAGAAATTGCATGTGAATGCTAAAGAGCTGAGAAATAATTGTTGAAAATGAGATTTGAATTTGGAATGGTCGGAATTGGCCAAGAAATGTGGAAAGAGAAGGGAAAAATGTGTAAAATGGGTCTAGATTGGGGAATTTCATTACAAAAATGTGGGAACTGATCAAACAGTTCCCCAGATGTTCCCAATGACCACAACAGTTTGAAATTGGAAAAGCTACGTAAAATGTCTATTCACATGGGGATTTTATTGTCCAGATTTGGAGCAGGAAAATATGTAAAACGGTCACTAAATTTGGTATTTTTTACTGTGAAAAGTTTGTGATTTGGGAAAAGTGGGAATTGTGGAAGTTGGAAAATAGTTCTCAAGATGTTCTAAATGTGCTGAGGTCTTTGAATATGAAATGGCAAAGATGGTGAGGCTTATTTTGTTCATTGTCTTAATTTTGTTTAAATTGGGCAATTTTACTGTGAAAACAAAGAGAATTTGGGGAAGAAGGGAAATTTGAGAATGTGGAAACGGAAGTCGTGATGTTTGAATGGCATGAGAAATGTAGAAGCAGAACCGAGTTAAAAAAAAAACAGTGGGGAGAGTACCGGTAATCATTTAAAATATGTAACTTTTGGGGTAGAGTAAAATGCGTAATTGTTCTTCTGCATTCACAAAAGTGAATTTCTGAAATACAACTTTATTCTGGTAATATAATGCCTTTCATTCTCGAATACTGATATATTATTGAAAAATACACCTACTGGTATATTTAAAAAAAAAGAAATTAAAAAAGGATTGTATGCTAAAGAATATATCTTGTTTCGCTGAAAATTTGAACTACAGTCTGGAAAAATCCAACTTTTGTCTAAAAAATAAGACCTTATTCTCGAAAATACAGCTGTATTTTCAAAATTAAATATTCATGAAAAATACAGTTATCGTCTCGAGAAATAAAACTATTCTCAGAAAATCCACTTGTACCCTCCCAAAAAAGGACTGTATTCTTAAAACTAATATATTTAATAAATAGTATACACCACCACTACACAATCAAAACATACTTTAATTTTCTCCAAAAATAGGAATGCATACTCAAAAAAAGGTAACTTTATTTTGAAAAATGAATACTATTCTGAAAAAGTACCTTTATTTTGGAGAAAATAGGACATAAGTCTTGAAAAATTCACCTTTATTTTAAAAACCAAATCTTACTATACTTAAAAAATACCTATTTTCTCATAAAATTAGATTAGATTCTTGGAAAATATACCTTATCTAGAAAGACTACTCTGCAAAAAAAAAAAAAAAAAAGTCAAATAAAAATGTTTAAAAATTATAATTTTTGTTGTTGTAAAACCCCCTGAGTTTACTCATGCAGGGGTGCCAAATTTAAGCCTGAATAATATCAGCTTCGAAATGAACCAAAGCTTAAGTACGGAGAAGTCATTGGTTTAGGTATGCACTTTTTAATTTCTAAATAATTCAACACAATTTACCGGACCACCACTTCCGGCTCACGGATCCCAAGTTTGAGAACCACTGCATTCGAAGGGCACATAGGAACACAAGCAGACTTTTGGCTCTTTCTTCTCTCTGAAAGTCAACAGTGTACAGACGTGAGCAGGCAGCCAACACAAGTCTTGTAAATATCCTCCTTGGAAGAATAAAAGGGAAAGGGGCCTGGATTATTTATTGGTTTATTGTAACATGACTATACGGCGAAAATGCTGGTCCATCTGGAGAGGCTTGCGTTTAAGGGCAAGGGGTAAGGGCAGCCATGAGGAGCTCCATCTTGTAGACGAAGTTGCGTCCCTCCATCTTATTCCAGTGGACCTCCTTGTACGGACCCCGGAGGTGGCTCCACTTGCCGTCCTGGATGACCTCGCTCTTGGGCAGCTCCTTGGTCTGGCTGCGTGGGAACTGGACCAAAACCCTGCACCCGCTCTCGGGACCGTTACGCACTGCAGGGACGATGAAAAGGAACACCAGGACTTCAGTTTTATTGATCACATATGTCATGTGTCAAAGTCAAGGCCCGGGGGCCAAATCTGGCCCGCCACATCATTTTATGTGGCCCGCGGAAGCAGGTCAAACATGTCAACTTCCATGATGCTTTCTAAAATGTCTCCCAAAAATTTAAATTCTCATATGTAATAAATTGAGATATTCGAAGCATTTGGTTACCAAAGCCCTCATGAGAGTAACTTAAACAACTTAAATCAACAGTTATTCTTGACTTCTTTAAATGGGTTCAGTCATAATGGCCCTCCAAGGGAAACGCTAACTAAAATGTGGCCCGTGACAAAAATGAGTTTGACACCCCTGACGTATGTTAATGGATGGCGTACATTTCCCTGGGAAGTTTAAGTGTGGAACTTCGCAAATATTCCAATTTGGAAAATTTTCCATGGAAATTAATAGGAATAAGAAGTCCATGGAGATTCATAGGAAGTGGGAATTGAGGGCATCACATTTTGCTTTAGTTCCCACCCATCAATATCGCTCAGCATCTTGACAATGCCCCACCTGTGAGGTGGATGGCAAAGGAGAAGTGATCACGAACATAGATTGAGAGAGATTTGTCTACTTGAGAGTGAGAGAGGCCTTCAAAGTAAGTTGAAAGTCTTTTGAGATGCCGGCGCGTCTTACCTGAGATGGCGTACTCTCCGTTGGGGGAGGCCACGGTGATGGCCGAGGCGTTCCCGATGCTCTCCACTGGGCCGAGGCCGACGTGGTTGCTGAAGCTCAGCACGTGCCAACCCATCACTTTGGCCAGCTGCTGCACCGCGTGCACCTGGTGCTGGGACATCTGCCACAAGGACGAGCCGGGGACGTCCAAAATCCCGGCAAGGGACATTCGATGGGTTGGGTTGGCTTTGAGTATTTTAGCAAAACAAAGTGACTCGCCTGCTGGTTAACGCAGACTTAGAGCGCGCTATCCATTGCAGCGTCAAAATTTACCATGTTTTAGCAATTGCTCTCCCTTGGTAGCATGACACTCAAAGATTTGTCTAATTTGCAGTACACTCGGAGCGATCGTCACCCGGAAGTATGTCTGACATCATACTGAAAAAGAAAGTAGGGCCCAATCGATGAATTGGCTATCCGGTTTAATGTGCCGCAATTAGCCATTTTCAAATCGGCAAAAATTTGCCAGTTTTTTGGGTGATTGTTTTTCTGTATTAACAGATTATACCATAAAACTACGATAATGACATTCAAATGAACAAGAAAAAAAAAGGCAAATAATCTGCTAATTTGTCAGTTTTTCTTTCAAGTATAAAGTTCAAACAAATACGAAAGGACAAAGTATTGTAAAACACTCAAATGTTCTGCCTGTAATTCACATCTTTAGAGGTGCAAAGATGAATTAAATTAACCAATCGACAACTAATTGCTCATCACATTAATTGGCAACTATTGTGACAATCCATTAATCGTTTCCCGAGTCGAAATCCTGGGACTTCCACCCTTCCTTCGTAAACTTTCTCCGGGCTCTGTAGTCCTCCAGGTTCCAGTTTGAGAACTACTGATTTTGATCTTGGTGGTCGGATGAGCCATACCTGTGAGAGGAGGAAGTCTTGCAGCTCCTGCTCCTGATGCGACAGAGTGACGACGCGTCCGTCTCGGTGCACCACTCGGATCTGCTCCACGCCAATGTTGAGCTGCAGCTGGATGGACCTGAACGATAAACACACAGAACCGTAGTCCATTAGAGCAGTTGTATCCCAAACTTCATTGGGCCCAAGCCCATATATTTTACACTTCAACCAAATCTCACGGCACGCCAGCCAGCTGCATCCAAAAGGTCCTTTGTGCCTTCCTTCCGCCACTTACTTGCAGATTTGCTCGTAGCTCTGAGAGGTGATCAGCACTTTGACGCTGGACTCGTACACGTCGTTGATGTTGGACCAGTGGGCTTGAATTTGAGGATCTTCGATGCGGCTGGCCAGGCTGTCAATAGTGCGTGCGGTCCTGACAAATGCACCAAAGTTGTGTACTTAGCAATGCAGGCCCAGAATTGTATTAAAACCGAGCATCTCAAACTGCGGGAGTTTGAGACCAGAAGCACGAATAAAGAAGCTTTTCCCAAACAAAAAAAGTATTATTAAAGTAATAATGTCCTGTTGTTGAGCATATGGCATAATGTTGCTGAGAATGACGACATTGTTTCAGGGAAAAAAAAAGTCTCTCTCTCTCACTCTCTCCATATATATAAATTTACAAATTCACTTGTTAGAGTATTACTTTCTTCCCTCGTTAAAGTTTAACTTTCATATCACGATTAACGTCATAAGAGCTAAAAACAAGTATTTGTTATCAGAACATTGTGAGTTCTTTTTTTTGGGGGGGGGGGCAGGGGGGAACAGACACCTTTTTCATTCCTATGGCATTTCGGGCTCCACATTGTAGTTATGTTGAATTGGCGTAAGGGTCCTTGAAAATATTTTCAAAATACGTATTTTAATAATATATCAGTGCAGCTGCTCCGGTCACTATGGTTAAGGACCGGAAATGTGTACTGAGCAAATATTGCGGAGGACCTCTATTGTCTATCTGCAAGCTGAGACAGATACAGACGTATTTCACATAGTTTCACTTTGTATCCATGCCACGTTCACTCTTCACAGCTGGCTTGGCTGACAGCAAATTTCAGACCTCAGATTCACTCCAGATGACAACTCGGGAAGTGTCATTATATTGAATCATACTATGGAAAATGTGCATTTTAATAAGTTTTCGACAAATAACTCGGTCACTGGAGTGCCTGCGCAAGAGTGAAACTAAACAATCGAATAAATCTTTGGTTATCTGCCTTTTTATGATGACGTGTATGTCAGCTAAGCCTTCTGCACGCTGCCCCGATGCGACATCACAATACCGCTAATTAACATGATAACCACCCCAACACCCAAGCTCCTCCCACTATGATGTGATTAGCTAGGCCAGGGGAAGTCGTATGTATGGATTTTTAACGTGGAAAATTTGATAATTTCTCTGCTGGTCCACTAATGTGCCACTTATAGACAGCGGTTAGAAATGCCTGATGCAGTAGAAGCCGTCTTACCGGCTCCGTAGGAAGATGTGCTTGGCCTGTTTGATAATCTTCTCCAGGAGACCCTCTCTCTGCTGCAAGCCGCTGATCTCGGCCTTGTCGTAGGCCAGCGGTCCGGCCAGACGTAGGCGCTTGTGGGCAAATGGAGCGGTGGCAGGATGTGGCATCACAATGGAACTCAGCTGCTGCTTGTGGAACTGCAACATGGACAAAGGAAAACAGAGAGGCTACATAAAGCAGGTGTGCATAAAAAGGTCTGGGTGATTATGGAGGGAGGAAAAAAACAAAACAAAAAACTCCCAAAACAATTATTACGATTATTTTGACAGATAAAGAAATCCCAATTAGTTGAAATCACGATTAATAAACACAATTATCCAATGATTTCATCACTCATGATTTCAACTACTAAAATTCATCTTCAAATACAACTTCAAAGAACACCAAAGAAAATAAATGACCAATTATTATCACAGCTTAACATAAACTTAAAAAGTCTTACCTCTCGCATCATCTGATGCAGGTTATGTTCCAGAACATAAAGATGGTCATCTGGTTTGGGTTTCTCCGGAGACGCCCGGTAGTTCCGTTTCTCTGTTGTCGAGTGGCACAATGAAATGGACAGTTGCAGACCTGCGGAGGCACAAATGGGATTCATGAGCACTGCGACACCGTGTAGAAAAAGACAAATTGCTTGCTGTCACAAGCTGGGCCCAACTGGTCAGGATTTTTGGAGACTAATGACAATTTCCATATTTGGTAGCGTAAAATTCTGGTAACCGATTCATCAGGCAATTAATTAAAAAATATATATTATGAATAAAATAGCTTTGTTTTTGGTCAACACTAACGATATGAATTCCAGGCAGCACATTCGACTAGTCTGTTTCACGATACTCTGTCCTTTAGTATTTGTTTAACTTTACAACAAAGAAAATTTGGCTATTTTTCTTTTTGGAGGAAACATTTGAATGTCATGATCTTTTTCATTTATGTGTTAATGCGTTTACAAAAAAAGAAAGTTATAAAAAAAACATGCTACTTTTTGCAGAGTTTAAAAGAGGGAATAATTATGACTCTATTATGGTTAAATGTTCGGGCCCTAGTCACAGGCATTCCCGAGGACCTGGGAAGGGCTGAGAGATGATCTGATTCTTCACGACAATGTGAGGGATCTGGGACTTGATCTGGACCGCTTCCCTCGAGAGCTGCGCAAAGATCTCCTTGCAAAGCAGAACGTTCTGCGCCGCCTCCAGCTTCACGTGCCACGGCTGCGAACCTGGCAATGTGACACATTACTTAGTGGAGGTGCAGATTTTTAAAAATCGGGGATAGCTTCATCCTAGACATGAAAGAGAATGCTTAAGTACTGTGCATTGATGCCACACCTCCTTTGGTTTTTGGTTGCCTCCTGAACAAGTTGACTGTTCCGAGATCACCGATGTCTGGAGCTTGTTTCTGGATGGAAACCTGCAGACATTCCCAGAGGTAATTACATTCATCACTTAGTGTTTCTTCATACAATTCAGTGTTTGCAGGGGAATGTTGCACTGAAGTAGGCAAGATGACAAGCACCAAAATGACAAGTCTCGCTACAATGACCAATCCAACCTAAGTACAACACACCAAGAACTTTGAAAATTGGAAGATGACTTCCAGAGAAACGGAGTTGGTTTGTCACAAAATGGTGCCAATTGAGACTTAAAGCGTGATATGTAGACCACTAAAATTCAGAAGTATTTTACTGAAGAAAGCATGTATCTCAATCCTTTACCTTTATATAGGCAGATCCCTCAAGATCACTCGGGATCTGTACATCAAGGGGACAGTAGTCCTCCGGGATTTTTTTGTCCAGATCGATATCAGTGTTCTTGATCACCTCGAATGAGCCGTGATGAGGAAACAGGGAGCCTGCATGGATAATGACACCATCTAGCTTTGACAGACTCAGTAGACAACACAACCACTTCCTAAAGGTTTCAATCACCTGCACTCCGGTAGCTGAGATCTCCCAGGATCTTGTCACCGACTTTGCGCAGCTTCCACTGCGAGCGCAGCCGCAGCAGCTCCGCGTTGAAGTCTCGCTGCCTCCGGTTCTCCTGGTTCTCGGCAACCGACTTATTGAGCTTCTCTGCACCCTTCAGGAGGAGCTGTGCAGCTGTGGCCAGGGATTTCTTTTTGCTCATCAGTTGGAACACCTGAGGGGTCTGAACCAGAACATGAAGATGAGGAAATTGAACTAAAAATACATTTTGAAAGAAAAAATTAAGGTCTGGCCGAAATGAATTTTTGAATGATGCCAATTCCGATATTTGGCAGATAAAATTCAGATGATGCATTATTAGGCTCTCTCTCTCTCTATCTCCTTACATGCTTGTGTACCTGTGAGTATTGTTATATTATCGCCAATATCTGTTCCTAAAAAGGGTTATGACACTGCAACACAGATGCTATTCATCAGCTCATCGATGGCATTACGCATTGCTTGTGAGCATTAAGTTAAACTGACTTTAACTCAGGCAAAACTATGTGGTTGTTTTATTTCTTCAGGGGAAAATAAAATACAAATCTCACGATTTGTGAAAAAGTTAATAGAAAGAATGGACATGTAGTCCCGAGACATGTACTGCATTGTGAATCAGTCAGTCTGCACAACAATTTCACTGGACCTTGCTCATGGATGGATCTTGAGAAACTGGGTCAAGCGCCATGTACTTCTTCTCCTTCACCACACAAAGCACATCATAGAGGACACACATTTCGGTCAGGGCACTGCGCAAGTTGTTACGGACGGAGTCCCAAGGCCACAGGGACGGCTGGAATTTCACTGTTCCTGCGTGAAAAAGAAACGGTACAAAAGAAAATCACTCACTGGGCATACACAAAACACACACTTGTCCTTGTGATACCTTCTTCTTCCTCCGGATCCTGTTTACACCACTCGCGATCGCGGGATTCACCATCAGCTCCCTCCTCCTCAGAGTCGGATCCTTGGCTGAAGTCAATCCGTTGCGCCAATTTAGCCAAGTTCTGGGACATGGACAGGGGTGGCACATACGTCTCGGTTCCATCCAGGGCCACCTCCTGCACCTGCTTCTCACAGGAAGACTCGATACTGACCCTCACACCCGGACCACTGGCCATGATGACAGGGCTGACATGTGGACAGCAAGAGAACGATAGCATCATATGACTTCTGCAATGTGAAAATATGAAGTGTTTGTAAAGTCCAGGTTTGTGCTCCACTGTCCTTTCTGAACCCTATTCCCGGGTTGCTGCAGCGAATAATAACCATCTTACATCTGTTAGTGCCCTCTGCAACATCTGCAAGACATTCTTTGCCACATCTTTAAATCTCCTCTTTGGTCCTTCTCTTTGCCTCCTTACCGGAGGCTCCATTTCTTTGCATATGTCCAAACCATCTCTATATGTCCAGTCTTACATATCACTTTACATTTTACTTGGTGCTCTTCTGTCATAGATCACTCCTGACATTTTCAACCGCCCGCTCTATTTGAATGATGTTTATACATACATACAACACATACATATAGCACATTTGACAATAAAGTTGTATTCAATTCAATTTACCCCTTTATTAGCAATACTTTCTCACACTGCATTTTGAAGGATGTCCTATCGGTTGCTAGGAAATGCACTTGTAATATGTGATTCGGTACTACCGATGCGGAAATATATATGTACAGTTTTTTGCTGTGCCTTGTTTTCCCAATGGGATAGCGTTTGCTATGCTAACCACGGCGAATGTAGTTGGATCACCCAAACGAAAACCTTGCCGTCAATCAAATATTTGATTTTATCATTACTTACCTCTGCTTTTAAGCAAGTGTTAGGAATGCAAAGACAATTCCTTTGATTTGTTATTTTGTTTCCGTCGTTACAAACTCATTCTGCGAACGACTCATTCTGCGCACGACTACTTCTTCGTCCGCCACACGGAGGATGCCAACCTTCCTCGGGGAAATAGCGCTTCTTGAGGCGCTAAGTGCTACTTACTGCAGCTGTTAAAGTAGTTAGAATATTGGATACATTTATGCTGTGTTTTTGGAATATATCCATGATCTACAATAATTGCATTAAATCATTTATAATCACAATACATCTGAAATAATAATAATATAATGCATCTAAATAATGCAACTAAGTGTCGCGACAAAGCGCGCGAGCACGGCGGGATGTTTAAACGACAGGATATGACGTAAAAATAATTCAAAGGGAACTCTTGACGATCGCACAATTTTCCAAAATGTAATTTTCGTTTGAGTGGACTGTATCTTTAACTCACGCAATTTGATATGATCCTGTGTTATCCTTTAACTCGCGTTTGAGGGGCGGACCGTTAACCAACTCGGGCTAATTAGGAGAGCTGCTAGCTGCGTATGTTGCTACAGAGAAATGTTTACGCGGAGAAACAATGGCGAGGCGGGTGGGAAAATTACGACCGAGTCCCAACGAAGAGGCCCAGTTGATTCAAGAAGAAAGGGAAAGGAGGAGAATACTGCGTATTCAACAGGTAAACAAAAATAAAAGAAAATTTGCTTCGCTTTTTGACGTCCCAATTATTTGTGACGTCATAAATCACTTAACCCGGTCGAAAATATGCGTAGTTTTCGAGTCAACTTTTATTTGGCATCCCTACAAATAGTCTTGCCAATGCCAAATAAGCCAAACATTCACTTTAGCGTGAATGTGAGTTTTCAAACTGCTATTCGTGCTGATTGATGCTCTCATCTGTTTCCCAGGGATGCAAACTAATTGTGTTCTGCTCAACCAATTATTTTAAAAAAAGGTCTTTAACAGGAACAGTCCAGTTGCCTCAATTCAACCTTTACTAATAATCATGACATGGATGACTGTCATTCAATACACAGACACGTTCTGATCATTGTACTCAAACAAACACTTTTTTTCTGCAAAGAATGAATATGTATTCGTTTTTCTTGGTATGTTTTGGAAAAATGCTTGTTTTACGGAACCGTTCAGAAAAGCCACACGTAACGATTGCTGAAGATTATTCGTATTCTTAGACATCAAGTGTAATGGTTAAGAAGGAAACAATATTTCATCTTGTTCGTGTGTATTTGACTCCCTCCAACCTGTTCCTCTCCCAGGTTCGTGAGCAGCAGAAGAACTTTGCTCTGCAGACACGGCAGAATGTTGAGCAGCGGCGTCAGCGTGAGCTGGAGCTGCTGGGAAAGGAGCTGCGGGAGGAATGGGAGCAACAGCAGAGCGAGAAACTACACACGCTGCAGATGCTGTACGAACAGAGCCTCCAGATGGTCGGTCAAGGACAGAGGATGGCCAAAGAAAATGTAATGCAATATGACTTTATATAAATCTACTAGTTAACATTTACACAGGCTTCACTAGTAGGACTAGTTGTGCTCTGATGTCAATGACTGCACAGTTTTGCCGTACTTGTAACGAGTAGTTGTCCTCCTTGCAAGGATGGGTGCCGTACCAGTAGATGGCCCGTTAGCTAGATGTCAACTTTCGGGAGAAAAATGTATTGTAAAACAGCATCTCGCATTTGGATTAAAATGTCATTTGATCTGAAAAAGGAGCCCGATTTGGCGGCCATAAACCAAAGGGAAGCGCTGAATCACGCCAAAGCCGAGGAGCGCTTTCGAGATGCCCTCAAGGAGTTGAAGTCACAGAGGCTTAAAGATAGCGAGATGCAAAGCCGGTGAGCATTGTTCAACTTTTGAATGTGGCTGGCTGGAGGGATGGATATCACACCAAAACAGCGTGAGAAATGCACACATTGTTTTTATTTACTTTCCAGTACAATCAATGCTAGGAAGAAGGCGCTGCAGGTAGAAAAGGAGAGATCCTCAAAAGTGGCCAACCTCCCACCGCCTCCATCAAATCCAATTCTGGTGAGTTGCGCTGGTGTACTAAAAGGTTGTGGGTGAAATGCCATGAAAATTGAACAGATTCAAGATTGCCATCACAAAAAAAAAAAAACTTTTATCAATATTATCACAAAGTTAGGAAAGATGTGCACAAAGTGAAAGAGAATTAAACATTGTATAGTTCAACATGAACAAGTTTAATCAAACCATATTTCATCAAATGAAAGTCCACTAGCTTAATGCTAACATAAAGAGAAACGCAGTTCATGGGTGAACAGAGCATAGGGAGTTACAGTATTTATAAACCTTCAACACAAATGCTACATTAACACATGTAAGGGCAACATACAAAGAGAGCAGACAGCAATACTCGCAGGTATTCTCTCTGGTTTGGGAACAATTAAAATGGCAAAATGATAGGGTGTCGTCTTCTTCTTCTTAATTACATTGCATGTCATCAAGTATAGCTCACTCCTGCCCGGCATGTTGTTGCACAATTAGGCACAAAACTGAAAGCATAAAACTCCACATTGGGAAGTGCCTGTGTACTGTAAACCCACTCCCAAAAAAATTAGGGCTTTAAAATCCACTGTGAATGATGAGCCACAATATAGTTGGGTTTTTATTGTAAACTGTGCTGTCCTCTCCTTTCAAGCAGGCGATTGATTCTGCGAAATCGAATGTAGGAAGGAAAGCCGACATCAGTGCCTTTGCTAGCACACGTTACCACATGCCTGTAGCCACAGTGGATCGGGCAGAGGAAACACAACAGGTAAAAGCCTCACCATAAACCGCATGTTCCTATTTCGAGTTGTTCTAAGTCAAGTTGCACAAAAAGGCGGATGCCCACGAGGGAGCTGAGCTGGCGATGAAGAGGCTTGTGGACCTCCAGAGAGACTGCGAGAGGAAGAGAGCAGAGCAAATAGAGACGGCGCGTCTTCGAGGGAAGACGGCTCTGAGGAAAGAGCACCGTGCACTGGTATGGCTTTCCATGCACGTGTTTACGTATTATTGACCATTCTAAAAGTGTTGAAAATGGCTCGCTTTTTTTGACATGCCATTTTGATTTTTATAGTTACCTTTCCTTGCACACATTTGAGGGCATTACAGTACCCATAGATTCCCATTCATTCCTTTTGAAAGATAACTGTAATTATGAATTTCTAGTCATACGGGAGTGAGAGGGAATACAGTAATCCCTCGCGATAACGCGTTCATCTTTCACAGCTTTGCTGTTTCATAGATTTTTTTTTTTTTGAACAGTGCATCGTGTTCACCATCCTGATTGGCTAAGGGACTGTAGATTAATGTCAGCAGTCTCCGCACCTCATCGCTGTACAGCTTGCCAAAGTTTCTCCATGGCAAAACCAGCAACGTCGACGAAACATTTATCAGTTGTTCGTCAGAAAACGCTGATATTTTTTATTTATTTTTTAAATGGTTGGGCTTGAAAAAAGGTTTCATCTTTGGTTTCCTTCTATACAGTATTTTATTCTGTATGTAATAATTGTAAAAAAAAAAAAAAAAATCAAGAAGACTATCAGTACTTCACGAATTTCACTTATCGCAGGTTCTTTTTGGAACGAAACTCCCACGATAAATGGGATTGCTGTAGTAGAAAGTGTTGCTGGAATGGCAGTCTTGTATATACTAGTGTGCCCCATCTTCATATTAGTTCACGGAATACTTACTAGTGAGGAGAAAGAGGGTACAAGTTCACAAATTTTACACTGCATGTCAAGAATATCGAGTAAATGCAGAATGTGTTGATTTCATTGTATGTATACATGAAATATGTACTGACCCCATTTGGCGCAGCATTTTGTAAGTACGTGGTGGCCCGACCACCGTTAATGTTAGACCCTGTTTTGGTCTCCGTAGGACCGCGACCGGCTCCTTGTTGAATTGGAGCACATGCAGCAGGCTGACATGCTCAGGAGGCGGCAGCAGGCATTTCAGATACCGCCAGTGATCTTCCAGCCGCCTCACAGGAGACAGGAGATGAAGGACGACTTCCAAAGGGACATGGAGTTTGCCTTTGAAGACATGTACACCAGAGAAAGGAGTAAGAACTCCATACTTCTTACAGTAGTCTACTGTACATTGATACCGAGCCCTGTCGAAAATTGTAATTGACAGCCTCCTAAAAATGTTTAGAATTGCCTCTGTTCACAATAGGACCCGACCAATCAATTGGCAGACCAATTTAATCAGCCGATATTAGTGCTTTTAAAATGTACAAAAAAAATTATAAAAAAAGAAATCTCTCTCTTTTTTTTTTAAACACATTACAACACAAAACAAAGATATAGCATTCAAATATTCCTTCCCCAAGAAATTGGGGGGAAAAGGGCAATTCTATCTATCTATCTATCTATCTATCTATCTATCTATCTATCTATCTATCTCAGTTTAATTCTCCCAAATATTTGAATCATCCTAAAAAAAAATCTGAACCGTTATTTCATACATTTTTTTGACGTGGAATGGCTATAATCCAGATAACTACGTAGCCTCAAATGATTCAAGTGATGCTTAAATGCAAATGAATGCGCTTGATCCCAGAAATCAAAGGTGACCTGGTGGGCCGGCTGGTCCCTGAACCGCTTCCTGCCGTGTCCACAAGCAGCCAGGATTCCGAGCTAGATGTCACACTCGATGAGACTACCACATCCAAACAAGAAAAGTCAACAGTGGACCCTGCATCGCAGGACTCTGCCCATGGTACAAAACACATTTTTTTTTTCATAACCCAATTCCAATGAAGTTGGGATATTGTATCCGATAAATAAATAAAAATAGAATACAATGATTTACAGTACAAATCATGTTTAACCTATTTTTAATTGAATACACTACGAAGACAAGCTATTTAATGTTCAAACTGATAAACTTGATTTTTTTTTTTAGCAAACAATCATTAACTTTGAATTTTTGGGCGGAAAAATGTCCCAAGAAAGCTGGGACAGGTGTTAAAAACGACTGAGAAATTTGAGGGATGCTCATCAAACACCTTTTTGGAACATCACACAGGTGAACAGGCTAACTGGGAGCAGCTGGTTGCCATGACTGGGTTTAAAATGAGCTTTTCTGAATTGCTCAGTCCTTCCCACGCAAAGAGGGTGCGACGTTCACAACTACACGAGAAAATAGCCAAACGGTTTAACGAAAAAGTTCCTCAATGTGCAATTGCAAGGAATTTAGAGATCTCATCATCTACGGTCCATCATACAAAGTTTAAGAGAATCTGAAGAAATCATTGCCTGTTAGCGCCATTGCCGAAAACCAACATTAAATGACCGTGACTTTCAGTCCCTCAGGCGGCACTGCATCAAAAACCAACATAAATGTGTAAAGGATGTCACCACATGGGCTTAGGAACGCTTCAGAAAACTATTGTCAGTAAATACAATTCGGCACTGCATCCGGAAGTGCAACTTAAAACTCTATCAACAACACCCAGAAATGCGCCGGCTTCTCTGGGCCCAACCTCATCAATGATGGACTGATGCAGAGTGGAGAAGGGTTCTGTGTTCTGGCGAGTCCACTTTTCAACTTGTTGGAAATTGTGGACGTCATGTCCTCCGGGCCAAAGAGGAAGAGAACCATCCGGACTGTTGCAGACGCAAAGTTCAAAAGCCAGCATCTGTGATGGTATGGGGATGAGTTAGCGCTCATGGCATCGCTAATTAACAAATCTGTGATGGCATTATTAATGCTGAAAGGTAAATACAAGTTCCGGGGGAAACATATGCTACCATCTAAGCCAGACATGTCCAGCTCCGGGCCTGGAGGGCCCCCGTCCTGCCTGTTTTCCATCTCTCTCGGCTGAAACACACCTGATTCAGATGATCAGCTCATCAGCCAGCTCTGAAGCAGCATGAGAACATTGCTGATTATTTGAATCAGGTGTGTTGCTCCTGGGAGGGCCGTAAAACAGGCAGGACAACGGCCCTTGAGGACCGACTTTGGACACCCCTGATCTAAGCAATGTCTTTTTCATGGACGCCCCTAATTGGTTCAGCGGGACAATGCCGGACCACATTCTGCACCTGCTACGACAGCGTGCCTTTGCTATCGTAAAAGAGTGCGATGCGACTCAGGTTGCCGACGATAAAAGGCCATGTTAAAATTTGTAAAGTAGGCAAAAAGTGGCACTAATAGGGAAGGAAAAAACCCCAATACTAGTAAGACATTGTCGTTCTGAGCGTAGATTTCAAATAAATGCTCATGCAATTTTCCACACACCCCTTCTAAACTTGCAGTGAAAACCGACAGGGCAGCTCCCAGACAGGCCCTGAAGAATCTCCTCAATCGCATCAGGACCCAAAGGAGTGAGTCGACAAGCGGCAGCGGTGGCATCCCTGATGCTCATTCTCTCGTCACCGTTGCCAGTCGGGTCTCAGAACGGGACGCCGACGTCATCCCAGAGCGGGATGCTGTCGTCAGGCCCGAGGAAGTTGCGGAGAGTGCCGCGGTCGTCGATAAAGAGGCGGTCTCGGAGCAAGACACAACCATCGACACGGGCTCCCTCAGCAGCCAGCCCACCCAACCTCCATCATTATTTGAAGGTGATGCCGCATTCAAAATATTTCACTTTGGGGCTGAGAGATTTTCTAGTATTTTTATTTGAGTTTTTGTAAAACATCTGTTAAATTTCAATGTGACATTAGATTGAGGAATTTTGGAAAAAAATCAAAATTATAAACTTTGCATTGGAATGAACAGGGGTCCACTACGTGACTGTGCGGGCTACCCAAAGTTCATTGATGCTGCCCAGCTGGGCCAGTACAAATGTCATTGATAAATATGATGAAATCTTCATCTTCTTGGTTTTTTAATATTTACTATTCAGTAAGCTCTTTCCATGAGGAAAAACAGGGTCTCTTTTGTTTCTGTTAGCTGTGAATCCAAGCAGTCAGCCAGGCCCAGCAGACACTCAAGACAGAGATGACCTGTCCTCCAAAATTCTGGAATTTGAAGCAGAGCGAAAGAAAAGGGTAAGAGATGGTCAAAGGACTGGTAGTCCACTTTGTGTAGAATCATTTTTCCACTGATTATTTTTTTCAGGGCAGTTTGACTTGTGCAAATTGTGATGATTGGTTGATCAAATGAAAGCATACAGCAGAACCATCAGAGCTCACTTTTCGAGGTGTGTCCCTTCACCGTACTTTCTTGACACTGATTTACTGTACTGCTTTTAGGACTTCGGTGGAACAGGTTCTGCAGGAAAAGGAAATTTGTATAAGGAACAGCAAATAAATAAAAACAGGGGGTGACTATATTTCAAGTGTCTATGAAGGATTGCCCTCTGGCGGATGAGCAGGAGCAACTCCGGTTTGTTTTTGTCTAATTTCTTGGGTGAGGCTTTTTCTTGACCTTTTTATCTTCTGCAGGAGATGGAGCTGGAGCGGGAGAAACAGCAGCAGATGGCCTTGCTACACGAGCTGGAAGACCAGAAGGCCCATTTGGAGCAGCTGCTGCTCAGGGCTCAGCAGGATGGAAAACAACAAAAGGCCCAAGAAATCCCTCTTAATCAAGCAGAGGTACCGCCGGTTCATGGCCAGGAAGTTTACGGAGATCCACAGGTTAGCCGATGTTTGAGGAAGATATTTTTTCTTGGTTTTGATCCTCAATTATAATTTATGTCTTGATTTATATGACAGCCGTTAACTCCTGAGCACACCAGGAGAATCCGAGAATGTCAAGCGCGCCTCCTGGAACAAAACAGGTATGTTGCATCATCTGCTGCTTTAGTTGTACATTAAACCCCTGATGTTTGCAAGGGATAAGGATAAATAGTGAAAAGCTGAATTTAATTGTTGTGACCCTGCTTAAAACATTTTTATAATTGCCTACATTCATGGTTTAAACCCTAAACTTTGATCCCGAAACACTTTGATTTCAAATTCATCATTCAAGAGTACCTTTAAAAAGATGGCTTTTAGATTATTTAACAACAAAAAAATGCAACCATAAATAGAGCAATTATCATGCAATAACAAGAATGCCATTGTTTATTAGCTTGAGCTTTTTCGAAGCCACACAGAAGTCCAAAAACAAGATTTTGTGCGACGACTTTGTAATTTCCGTTTGGCTCCACCTTGACCCGAAAACTTCTACAAAATTTTGAGGTGTATCACGTCAACAGCCCTCCTTGACACTATTCGTCAGCCCATTAGTGGAATCTTGTAGCAATTTAGTGCAAATAAACCGGCTAGCTGTGGATAGGTGAGTTTTTCAGCAAATAGCTCAGATTAAGTTCCATAGGAAAAAAATGTGAATACAGTCTGGTTATGTTTCAGACACAACACTATTTGTAAATGGTTTTACCCCTTCCATTGTTTTAAAGTCATTTAAACCAATTGTAATCATATTTGACACCTAGAATGTATAGAAATTTTATTCCACGTCCTCTAGTGTCTGATTGTAATGCCATTCTTTTTTTGGGCGGCGGGGGGTCAACTTGAAGAATTCATCAGCAGTCTATGGACTTGGCTCGACGACGCCTGGAAGAATACCAGCGCGCTCTCCAGAGTCGTCACAACATGGCCACTCCACCTCCTCCTCTGCTGCATTTACGCTCTACAGAGCCACAAATTGCTGCTGAGTTTACCTCACCAAGATCCGCTGGTCCAGCCATGCCACCCAGTGTTCCCTCCTCCAGTGCCAGCTTTGCTCCCACCCTGCAGACTGCAGAACCATGTGAAAGTTTAATCATTCCTAGGCACCAGCAACAGGAGATCTCCGATCTTGCCCCTTTGATGAGAAAAGTCGTTTCAAGAGTTGCGGAGCGAGCTAGAAGCCCGCCGACTACCACGGACACACTTCCTTCTCAACCGGTCATCAGAGAGGCACTTCCTCCTAAAATGGTCACCAGAGAGTTACTTCCTCCTGAAGTGGTCATCAGAGGACCAATTCCTCCTGAAGTAGTCACCAGAGTACCAATTCATCCTAGAATGGTCAGCACACAGCCAGTTGCTCCTCAAGTGAGCACCACAGACTCACTTCCTCGAACTCCAATAGTCACTAGAGAGTCACTACCTTTTACAATGGTCACCAGAGAGTCGCTTAGTCTTCCACAAGTCATCAGAGAGCCACTCCCTCAATTGGTCACCACTGAGCCAGCTCCTTCTCGAGTGGTCACCAGAGAGTCACTTCATCCGCAACCAGTCACCAGAGAAGTACTTACTCCTCAAGTGGTCACCAGAGAGTCACTTCATCCACAACCAGTCACCAGAGAAGTACTTACTCCTCAAGCGGTCACCAGAGAGTCACTTCATCCTCAACCAGTCAGAAGAGAAGTACTTAATCCTCAAACGGTCGTCAGAGAATCCTTCACCCTTAAACCAGTCACCACAGAGTTTCTCCCTTCTAAAACGGTCACCACAAGCCTTCCATTCCGGCGGCCCATCCAAACGGTCACAGAGGGTCGCTTTCCACAGTTTGGAACACCTGCAGAAGATGACTCCGACCAGGAGGGTTCTCAGGAGTTCCACGAGCGGCAGCGGGAAGGCAAGAGAGAAAGCCTTGAGGAGCTGCGACAAAGACAGCAAGATAGTCTGGAGCTCCTGAGGCAGGAAAAGGAAACATTGCGGGCTCTGATTAATGTTGATTCACAAGTGAGTTCAATCATTGTCTGTCGATGTCAAAATGCCACCTGGTGCTATTGTCTTGTCATGTGAAAGTCAAATGGTTGTAAGGATGAGGTTTTTTCCAATCCACAGCTACACAGTGAGGACTCGGCAGAGGACGATGCCGGTCAATCCCGCTCGGGACTACTTTCCTCCTTGCTCAAAATCATAGAAGAATCTAACGGGGGGAGTCTGACCCAACCGGGGCATCTGCAGACAGAAGTCAATCCACGTCTTCAACCCCCATTCTCCAGCGAGACTGGTAATGAAGTGTGTTTCATTGATTTGTTTGTTTGTTTGTTGTTGGTGGTGTTTGTTTGTTTTTTTTTTTTTGTTATGTCCTCCTTGATGAAATATAGTGTTCCACTTGCTAAATCATGGTTCACATGCTGCCAGCTACGCGCTGTCGCAGGTTTTCATTTGATATCTTTGCCTACCTTTCTGCTATGTATTTTCAGTCTCTCCAGTCTCACTGCATGCTCCTGCTCGAGCAGGAAAACCCCCAGTGACACGCGACAGGCTGGGCATGATGAGGGAACAGCATGAGCTCAGCGCCATTCAGGAAGTCGAGACGCCAGTAAACACCAGCCTGGTGACAGGTCAATATAAAATGTTCATTTACAACAAGTAACCGTTGTCAGGACACTAAAATGACTGGGAGAGACCTGTGGAAAGTATCTCAATACTGGTGTTGAAACAATCCCAGGGCAAAAATCTGAAATGTCAATAGCAACTACAATTCTACATGCAAGACACCATGTCTCTTCATCACTGGCGTTGTTTCTACTCTCAGGTCCGGAGGACGTTTTCTCCCTGCCACATCACACAAGGGACTGGTCTCTGCAGGAGCCATATGAGTCCTCCGTGACCACCGAACATACTCTGCAGACCCCCTCCGTACCAAGTTCAAGGAAGTCCACCCCACCACTCTCTCGAAAAAATCTGGTGATGGGGACTGGAATATCTCCAGATACTTCTGAGCATGGTGAATTAAGTTTTTTTGCAACTTATGTGCTGACATTTTTGTTTTATTCACCAAAAAAAATTGACATGTTTACAAAGACACCTGATATTTAGACTGAGGAATCTAGTCATAAAATATATTTTTTATAATCTGTATGATGCCTGCTACCAAATGACCCATGGACCGGTATTGGTCCACAGCTTGCAGGTTGGTGAGCCATGGTGCAGCAATTCTGGTCGGGTTTATTTGAAAATGGGATTTCTCTTTTACAGGTTCATATCAACACATCTCATCCAACTCTGAGAGGGGATCTGATTCCTTTGACATGTCAATCACGTCACTCACGCTCAGCGACTCACTCCCACATGCTACCAGGGCACCTGGAGGGGCAAGTCTGCCGGTAGGGCTTTTGTTTTTATTCAAGGGGTGGTATTGCATTCGGGTACACTTCTCATGCCCTCTGAGGTTCACAAGTTGTGAATCAATGATGAAAAATAGCCAAATCTGAGTGCCTTGGCAATATCTGTCTTGGCCTTTGATTATGCATGAGAAGCTTTTCGTCTTTATGTCTGTCTGTGTTTGTCAGAATGTGTGTGGGTGGGTTTGTGGGTGTGTGAGTATGTTTGCGATCGTTTGTGGGTGTGTGGGTATGTTTGCGATTGTATGTGCGTGCAAGAGTGTTGTCTTATTGTGTGTACTGAGCGATGATGTAAACAAAATTACCTGAAGTGTATTTAACAGCGAAATACATTCCATGAGGGCTTCTACACTTGAACTGAGCTCAATATCTGTGTGTGTGTGTGTGTGTGTGTGTGTGTGTGTGTGTGTGTGTGTGTGCGCGCGCGCGCTTGCGTGTGCGTGCGTGTGCATGCGTGTGCATGTGTGTGCGTGTGCATGTGTGTGTGAGTGAGACAAATGTTTTTTTGTTGTTGTTTTTTTTAATGTTCGTGCACTGAGTGATGATGTAAATCTCCTTGACCTGAAGTGTATTTTGGACTAAAAATACATTTCCATGAGGGTTTCTACACTTGAACTGAGCTCGACTGTGTCTATTTAATCTTAAATAATAAATAAGTTTGCTTACATCAGCTCTTAGAAGAGAGCCTTTTTGGGGAGGAGGGGGGCAAAATGCTGAACCCCCCCACCCCCATATATATATATATATATATATATGGGGGTGGGGGGGTTCAGCATTTTACCCCATGGTAAGTGTAGGTGCACTAAATTATTATTATTCGTGAAGGACAATGTATGGTAGGATTTTCTTGTAAATGCAGGCATCTACCACCTATCCTAATTGTGTGTGCATGTGTGCGCTTGGGTTGTTAGTCTACACATGGAACTACTGATCTGGAATGCCTGTCCACAACCACCCTGTCCACTGGGAGCTATATCACCAGTGATCCAGAGGCAGGTGAGAAATACGTCTGCCAGCACACATCTTGGTAGCACTGGCTTGTGTGTTTTTGAGACTGTATGGAAAGAGGAATAAAAGAAAATGTTGCAGGCACGTACACGGTGACTTCGGTCTCTGGTTTAAACCTGAAGTGTCATTATCAGGTAAATCTCCAACTCTTGGAGCCGCGGAGTCTTCTCAACTTGGCACCTCCTCCAGTCATGCTGCAGGTCAACCCCAAGCTGCTCTGCCCAGCGCTCTGTTCAGCGGCGGCAACGTCCAGCGGATTATCGACCGATATACTCAAGAGCTCGACGTCTCTTTCAGCGCCGTGGTTAAAAGCACAGGTACAGCGTGCGTTAGATGCTTCCCCCACCATGCGGGATGCTTTTGTTCACCATGGGACATTTTGAGCAGGGGTGGGAAAGGTTCTTCTTCGGGGGCAGATAATTAACAGATGTCGGTTCAGAAAAAAAATCTCAATGTGATTTGTTGGTCAGCAACAAAAAAAATATTAAAGAATTCCAAAAAGTAAATGAATAAATTGGCAAATGGTCCCACTTGCGCGAGGCGATGAAAAAAATTGTTGCATTGTCTCATGTGAAATGCCGACTTCACATAATTTCCCCTGTTTTTGATCTCCAGACACCGAAGTCTCCGTTTTGGAGGAGCTTCACCCTTTAGGCCAAGCCACTGGGAGGCAAGAGGACGATGACGAAGCATCTCGCGTGACTCTTCCCTCTCAAGCCGCCCACACAACGGACATGGTTAGTGAGCCACAAAGCCGTCTGAAAGGCTTGACATTTGTTTACTATTTTTACATTGCTTTGCATATTGAATGATAATGTAAATCTACTTGAAGGCACTGAAAAAGAAGTTAACGCTAATTGAAGTACACTTTGTTCCATGTTAATTCACAGTGTATTTGCCTTTATTTTAGTGTAAGCCTAACCTATAAGACCGAAACATTGAAGTACCATAAGTTTGTTTATTGAATTTTTTTTTGTCTTGTTTGGTAAAGAAAAAAAAAAGCATGGAAAGAGGACCTTGAAAAAATAATTTCATATTAAATCACAATCGCAATATTGAGGGGAAAAAAAAATCGCAATGTAATTTTTTTACCAAAATCTTTCTACCATAAATTTTTAGTTTCTACTCAAGGACATATTTTCAACCAAGTCCCTTTTGTTCATCTTCCAGAATCATGACCAGACTGCCCACCCAATCACCGAGCAACTCTCAATTTGCGAGGATCAGGATTCGTTCAGACCTCTAATTGGTCAGCCGGGGGATCAGTCCTCCTATCTTCTCACCGAACAAAGAGACACCGGCATGGAGCCGCTGGTGGGTCAACCGTCGGCTCACTCGTCTATGATCGGGCAGCCATCTGGCCCGCCACTTTCTGCCGGATGGGACTCTGAGTCACATCACGGAACAAGTCTGAGTCACATCACGGAACAAGTGTCGCAAGAGTCAAGCCAGCGCAGGCATAGAGACGAGCGAGACTCATGTGCGGGTCAGCTTACGTCTCGGACAGAACCGTCATTGTTGGACGAGCATCCGGAGGAGAGCTCCATGAGACCGCTTGTCGCAGAGTTGGACGTGTCTTCTGGCCAGGACAGTGGAAGCTCAGGTTTGAGGATTTTGGAGGCACTTTGTGGACAGTGAATTAGATTTTTTCCATACCAAAAATACTTATTAAAGTGATCCCGCCACCCACTTATGTTTTCATAGATATCAATTTACTATCTTATATAAGATTTCTTGGTACATTTTAAATATTGAAGTATTTATTTCTGTATTTCTCTACAGACCAGTCGAAGAGGGAAGGTCAAACAGTCATTTGAGAATTGTATAATTTTTTTTCATCTTGAACAACAAAAGCAAAAACTAATAAAAACTAAACTAAAATTAAGCATTTAAAAAAAAACACCTACAAATCTGCGCTACAAAACGAATTAAAACTGAATTTTTAAGACTAAATAAAAACGATCTTTCAAGCAAAATCCAAAACTTATATTATCACCACAGCCACTTCACAACTAGCAGCAGTTTGGCAGATGAACAATTCCTCAAGACATGATTCAATCCATTTTTTTGCCAATCCCCATTAAAGGTTTCTGTCAAACTAAACATAAAACAAAAGAGAATGACTTTATTAATTATTGTAAACAGTCGCGTCACTTTTCCTCAGGGAAAGCCACAAGCCTAATGCTAACATACAACCAATTTGCCATAATGAATAGCATCTGTGTTGTGGCGTTACAATGCTTCAAGTCTGAATTACTATGGAAATGTCCAACTGACAACATTCTCTTAATTTGGCATGCTTTGTCTTTTTTTGAAGGTGAAAGAACTGTCACGGATCTCAGCGCTTTGTCGGAGGCCGCCATTGTTCCGCATGTGTCGTCACCCCCCGAAGCCTCCGATCACAGTGCTTCAGTCCCCGGTGTGAATCCTCTCCCGCCCGCAGCAGTCTCCTTTCACCCCCTCCCGGCCGAGGTCACCAACAACGAGACGGCCCCGGATCCATCCGCCGTCTTTCATGACTCCTCCAACGGACGTCTCTCCAGCGGCGAGCTCAGTACGTCGGCACATTCCGACCTGCAGTCACATGATGGCGTCTCTGAGAGCGAGCAATCCACCGAGCACTTCAGGGCGGAGGACGACTCTCGCCAGACATCCGCTTGGCATTGCGTCGACTCTCCGCAGGTTGTGTGAGTGAGTGAGTGCGTGCGAATGCGTGGGTGTGTGTGTGTGTGTGTGTGTGTGTGCACATCTGTTTTTCTGATTGATTTTTGTTCCTGTTTTGTTTTTTGTGTATGCATCTTTTGGTTCGTGTCTGTTTGGTGTGTGTGCCTTCACCTAAATGAGCATAACAAAGTATTTGCCTCCTTTCTGATTGCAGGCTGTGCAGCTCTCCCAATCTGACGCGAGTGACACTTCGTCTCCATTCAGCATACTCCCGGAGGACAATGTGGAAGAAGAGCCGCAGGGAGTGCAGGTTCCAATTGCCGACCCTCTTGCAGAAGTGAAGGCAGAGCACAATTTGAACCTGAGGATGGATCTCACTGCTAAGCTACCGGTACATTTTTCGACACGACAGTGTGTGCGTGTGTGAGTTTTTGGTCATGTTTCCTAATATGGCTGACTACGTTCTGTGAATAAGTGTCTTTTTGATAATTGCATGTTTGTAATTTTATTTTAACCAATGGGCTGCAATTTGTGAGGTGCTTAGCTGATCTTCATTGTTTCTGTGAGCGACAATAAAGTTTTATTTTATTATTTTTCTAGGAAGCAGGCAGTACCAAGGGCATCCTGGAGCAGTCCCAAATAACATTGTTGAGCTTGACGGACATCACACTACAGGATAGCATTGAGCCTGAGGAAGAAGTCATGTGGGCGGAGGAAGAACAGAAAGGCCATGAGGTACTTGTGTTGGCATTCCAGAACCTTCTCAAGTCCACCCCCATATAAACTTGTGTTCTCTATCACAGGAGTCCCAAACAACCATCATGAAGGAACCTTCAGGGGCCTTAAAAGATTACCAAAGCTCAGTACATGCAGGTAAAGTCTGCCATTTATTTGCCCATGTGCCTTTTTACTTATGACTCTAAGTAAACTAATTGTCACCATAACATTAATTTAAATAACCATTTATTTATTTATTTTCACGCCTCGTTGGAATTACGGAGACACTTAAAGGGGGCGGGGGTTGCGTGGGGGAGGTATCTTGAAAGGTGAAGAGTGATTTCTATTGGGGGATTTTTTTCGAGAGGTTTTGGGTGTGATCTTTGTTTTTCTGGCATCAGGCATGCTGCTAGAGTTCAACTGGGGGTCCCGAGACCAAGGGCACTTTGAGGAGAAGCGCCAAAGTCTTCTGAAGAGATCAGCCCGCCGGGTGGAACACGTCAAGGCTAAAGGGGCACTGGCCAGGTCTGGAGCAGCGGCTGAGGGCAGCGTGCAGTCAGGGGAACGCCCTCTGCAGACCAAGGTTATTATATTTCACTAAAAATAATGAAATTACGAAAACAAAAATTGATAGGACATTTTTATTGATGAAATAAAATTAAAAGGTATTTGAAAAAATAAATACGAACTGAAAATACATTTTATGTTTCCAAAACACAAAATTAATTGACCTTTTTTTGAATCTCGCACCCAACAAATCACTTACATAAAAAACTAATACTAAAACTAATAAACACGAAACTAAAATGAAGCATTTCCCCCTAAAATAAAATAAAAATATTAAACCTAGAAATACATATAAGGGCGGCATGGGAAACAACTGGTTAGCACCTCCGCTTTCACAGTGCAGAGGTGCAGGGTTCGATTCCGGCTCCGGCCATCCTGTGTGGCGTTTGCATGTTCTTCCCGTGCCTGCGCGTGTTTTCTCCGGGTACTCGGGTTACCTCCCACAGTCCAAAAACATGCCTGGTAGGTTAATTGAACACTCTTAAGTGTCCCTACGTATGATTGTGAGCGCAAATGGTTGTTTGTCTCTTTGTGCCTTACGATTGGCTGGCAACCAGCCCAAGGTGTATTGCATCTTCTGCCGGAATATGGCTGGGATGGACTCCAGCACGCCCGCAACCCTCGTGGGGATAAGCGGATCAGATAATGGATGGATGGATGGATGGAAAAACACCCCAAAAATAAACACCCGAGACACTAATTTTGACACCCTAGACTGAATTTGAAAAACAAGAGTCAAAACGGGGCGGGGGGGGGGGGGGAAACGTTTAACGACAAAATTGTTATCTTTCTGCAGGCTCAGTCGGCCCACCGGTGGGAGCAAGTCAAAGACAAAGGGGCGCCAGGCAAGACTGGAGCGGCTGCAGAGGTCTGCAGGGAGTGTCCTGCACAAACTCAACAGGAAGCCAAAGTTGATAACTCGAAAACAGCCAAGTCCACTTTGGTCAAGCAACAAAAGTCCCCGACTCCTCCAGGTAGAAAATGTGATGAGTAACTGCATGGATGGAGTACATTGATCTGCGTGCCCCAGAAGTTGAGTATCAATTATTTTTCCCAGCAACGAGCATCTCAACAAAGCTGAACGAGCACAACCAAGTCAAGAGCAGCAAACAAGAAGTTACTGAGATGCACAAACGAACTCAGAGGTATTTCTACAGTTTGTTTTTTTTTCTCAAAGGAGCCACTTTGCATATTTTGGGCAATGTCAGGTTTTTTGTGATCTGTCTGACATGATTGCGGCTGTGTTTCTATGAGTTTAATTTTTGTTTTGTTTTTGTGGGATGTTGTTTCTGAAACATCATGAATACATTTGAATGTCGTTAATAAGGCACAGTAATGGCCTAGCATGTGAGCAACAAGAGCCTCACCAAGGCCCTTTCAGTTGTTTATTGAATGGCAGAAACAGTCAAACATACAAATACAAAATGAGATCATTGGGGGGAAGCTGCTGTCCATCACATATCCCGCCCAGATCCTTGCAAAAAAAAAAAACCCTCTATTTATTGCTTTACATTGTTTTTATTTTTGAAAATACAGTGCAGTTTTTCTTTATTAAACACCGCTAACAAAAAAAAAATGTTTTTTAGGGGGTAAAAGGTATGATATTTCAATGTGGAAAATCCATTTGCCATACAACTACATTGAGTTACAATATTTTTCATGTGTTTTATTAAACTGTTAAATGAAGGTCCCGCTGTATTAACAGTGAGTTTGTTTTCTTTCAGACTGTACGAGCAGCTGGAGGAGGTGAAGTTGCGCAAAGCTGTTCAGAGCCGACAGGAGGCATACGCCAGGAACAGACAGAAAGCCAAAGCTTTCCACATGGTAAACCATCACACTCACTTTCCCTCTTGGAGACATTATGCTTACAACGGGGCACTCAACTGACGCAAAGTATGTTTTTATTCCCACACAGAAAACCCTTCAGAAGCTCCGTGCCAAGCAGACTCATCAATGAGTGAATGTTTTCAAACTTGTGTAAATGAAGTTAGAGATTTTATCAATAAAGCTTTTAACTTATTCAAACATTGTGGTGTCCTATGCTGTAGGGCAGTCGTCCTCAAACTTTTTACACCAAGTGCGGTGATGGATTGAGAGATGGCTGTCTATATTCAGTCACAGCCATGAGCCACAAGATGGCAGCAAAACACTTAAATGCAGCAGCTGCTCAACTTCAACATCGTTCCTTGCCACCAAAGCAAAACTCGCGAGGCTTCATTCAGCCTGAACATTCTGTAAATCACAGATGTGCGATGAAGACATTTGGGAAGAGTTTTAAACTGTATGGTGCCTCCTTGAACTTTCAGCAGCATTTATTAGATTAATATAGACATTCAAATCAAGTACATGCATATTTTACAATGATAGCAAAAATAAAAAATTGACTTGATAGTCAAGCCAGGCCACTGAATTTGGCGGCTGTCAGAAGTGCACTTTCCAGCTTATTTATGCAACATTTACATACTATGATTTGAAAAAATGAACACCAGGTCACATGAATGAGTGCTCACACATTCACTTTTTTTTTTTTTTTTTTGGTTTAGATGAGCAGTGACGTTGGCTCTTTTGACACCCCTCAAGTCAGACCTCGGACCCCAGTTTGAGAACCGCTGGTCGAACGAGCTGGTTCAGTGGATGTTCTAATCTCTTTTCACAGTTTGGAGAACTCGATGCTCTTAACACTCTTCTTCTCCATGGAGGCCTGAGTGGATTTCATCACGTCTGCGGTCTGAAGCATGCTCATGTTCCACGTGGCCTGGAAACATGGGCGGATGCGATGTCAAGTCACAATTCAAGGGCACGCTTACCACACACACGCACACACAGCTCGTCAGCCATAGTGACAACATTTTACCAATGACACTTTTTTTTTTTTTTTTTAACATTTTATCCCCCAACAGCCCCCTTTTTTAAATTCTCATCTATAAATGAACTAGCACACCTGTCCATTTCAGAAGGCCCAACTGAGTGAAGTTTTCTTTACCATGTAGTCGAGTCCCTCAGCCACACTGTGGTCACGGGAGTAGATGAGGTTGACTTTGGTGCCCTGCACAGCCACGGGGCTGCGGGCGGCCATCTCCCCGGCCATCTCTAGCGCGCTCGCCATCATGGCCTCCTTGTCTGCAAACACTCGGCTGGATACCCAAAGAGAAAAACCCATTCCAGCTCCATTCATTACTATGGAAAGTTGCTTGAACATGTAGTCCATATGCATCTTAAGGGTACCATCACGTATTATTTACGGAAATCAGTTTACCTGACCAGTCCGCTGTTCAGGGCCTCGTCGGCGTACATCTTCCTTGCCGTCAGAGCCAAATCGTTCACCAGGCTGGAGAAAACACAACAAACGCATTGATATGAAATGTCATTAATTATAATGTTCTCCCGTTTGACTGTGGAATATTTTAGAAAGTATCCCCTGCCATGAACGGGGGTTCACCGCAATCATTTTGTGATTGTGAGTCCTTTACCTGCGGCTACCGATGACTTTCGGGAGCCTCTGCAGCGTTCCAACATCTGCCGCCAGCCCAATGTCCACTTCCTGCAACACAGTAACCAAGGCAACAACCTTAGGCATATATAGGGTATCGCCTTCAAAAATACTCAACCGTACACTTGAAGTATTGTTGTTGTGTTTAGACTCATGTTTTCTTCATGCTATTATATTTGCATGAATAAATAAATAATGTTATTAATGTAACTCATTGGAATATGGCAAGAAACACCAAAGTCCCGCCCCAAAATATAAGTAATGTCCAGTTTAGGGGTGAGCACGTTTTGTGGGACATCTTGTATTCAGGTTCATCTCAATATATTAGAATATGATAGAAGAGGTCAATTTTTGTTCAATTCAAAAAGTGAAACTCATTATACAGATTAATTAAACACCTCAGAATTTTTTTTTCAGAAGGCCATTGACTACCAAGTTTCTATATATTACAAGTAATTTTCTCTTTTATACAGCCGTAATACTCTGATTTTTATTTTATTTTTTTATGAACTGTAATCATTTTGTTGACATGTCGGGGGTGGGGTGGGGGGGGTTAAACTTCAAACACAGGCCACGTCCAAGCTGTGTGCGCAAACTTCTGCAATCATTAGCTCAACGTTTTAATTTTACCTTGCTCCTGAAAAGATTTGACAATTTTTCAGTTGAATTGTACAGATCACAATCGTGATTCCTGTACACATATGAGAGGATTCTTGTGTTGGATGTGTTCACCTTTCAGGGGCGTGGCCTAGTGAGGAATGGATGTTACATGAGGATGATAATCATGATCACTAATTTACACGGGACATACCTTGACTTGGAACCAGGCATCCTGGGTGCACAGGCGAATGTCACAGGCGGTGATCAGGTCCACACCTGAGAGAATATTTCAGTTTTTGAACGAGCAAATGATTACCTCCTTCAAGGTGCTTTTCTTCAAAAGATTGTTATGGTTGTTAACTTGGTGGAATTTTGTGTTCTAAGTGGGGTGTCTTTCTTGGGTCATCTTTTTTAAGGACAAGTCACCAAATTTAGTAACTCAAACAGAAGTCCAAACAGACATGTGACCGTCATGTGAGCTCTACGCACCAATATGACATCATAAAATCGAACGTGAGAAAAGATGATTGTGAAATAGGACCATTACAAATATACTATTTTTAAGTCTTCTCTGCTGGATGTCAAATCTAGATGTAGACAACCGTAACTTTCTGTCAAAAGCAGTTTTACTACGGTACTTTCACTTTAAAAAAATGGTGAGCCAGCCAGGAGGTTGGTGCAGTCTTACCACTGCCATATTATATCTACTGAAGGGTGAACAATTCTTCCCCTCAACAACATTTTAATTATTCAAATGCCGTTGATTTCTCTCGCATTCTCGAACTAGGACGCATATATATTGGGCATATCAACAGATGCTTCAAACAATGTTCATTTGGGGTGTATTATACAATTCATCAATTCGTCATTACTGTATATACGACACATGAATTTTGATGCCTCTGAGTTTATGTCCCCTCATTGGATACATGAAGTATTTATCTGTCTAGTTTCAACTAATTAGGTTTTCAAACTTCAAAGATCATGATGTCCTCCTACCTCCTCCCACACAGGCTCCATGGACCGCCACCACAACAGGCTTTGGACACTAGAGCAAGAAAATTTCACAGATCAGTAATTATCATCCATCTATCCATGATGTGATCCACTTATCCTCACGAGCTTATCCCAGCTGACTTTGGGCAGTTATGTGGGGAGGGGGGGGGGGGCACCCTGAACTGGTTGCCAGTCAATCACAGGGCACACATAGACACAAATAACAACCATTCACAATCACAATCGCACTAATAAGAAAAAGAATATTCTCATAATCATCATCATATGTGAGACAGACCCTCTCGATGACTGAGAAGGTGTTCTGGTATTTGGTGATGTTCTTTCTAAGGTTCCAAGAAATCCGGGCCGTGTCGTCGCCGTCGGGCTGCAGCAAGTCACCGGCCATGTCAATCAGGTCAATACCTGGACGAACGCACGCACGCACATAAACACATCGACAGAGGCACACAACTGAGAATTACATTTGTTCCTAAATCCACACAAATCTATGCAAGTTTGACACAAGACTTGTCGTACCTGCTGTGAAGACCTTCCCTGCAGCAGAGACCACCACCACTCTGCAATCGGGGTCACCTGAGATCTCGTTAAAACAATCCACCATCTCACTGAGGGAGGACACAATTATGGTCACAAAGACAATAATGCTCTGTTTTGATTGATACTGTTGGATATATACTCTCTCTCTCTCTGGATTGCTTATTGTAATATGGATTCATGTATTGGTTGTGTTTGTGAAAAAAATAACCGTAGAATACATCGCCTTCACAATATTGGGGGGCTTTCACAAATAATTTTTCTGACTAGTTCAGCTCTTGACACACTTATGAATTAGTTTCCTGATGTAATATTTGGGGCTCTACATAAATAATGTCATCTTTTAGAAAATGTTTTAATGTGATTCGTGCCTCCAGAAAGCTTTGTTCATGGCGTTGCGCTTGCTGGGACGGTGGAGCTCCACATGCGTGATCGTCTGTGCTGGGTGGCTGATGGCCAGGGTGGTGTAAGGGGCAGTCGGACCCCCGGACGACGACATGGCCCGAACAATTGTTTGGCTGCAGGGTCCGAATCCCCTGTCTATTAAGAAAAAGAAAGAAAAACAACTATACTTAGATAATGATACAATTATAATGCATTAATAGTGAAACAAAAATGACACCTAAACTAGTTTTAAAACAAACAGTTCTTAACGATTAAATACATGTACAAAGTTAAATTCAACTGAACTGCGCTATATGACAGTAAATGGGACTCGAACCTAGAACTTGTCATTACAATCCAAAATGTTATTTGCAAGAATATGTTCTATGTACATCCACTAGTCTAAGCACGGTACTTTTGCATGAGTGGAATAACAATCAAGCAGATTTATCCACCAGTCAAAGTGCCCACGGATTCGCATTGCGAACATCACTCTTCACCTGTTTTCTGGGTTTGGTCGCGCGGCGTTCGCAATGCGAGTCAGCAGGGCACGGTGGTGCATTAAATGTCAGTCTCCTTGGGTGGCTGAAAACGAGTGGCGTATTCTGCTTAATTCTTACTCTACAAATGCAATATTAATCAGAATGCCGTGTTTACACTAGCGGGGACACAGAAAATATTCTTGCAAAGAACATGTTTTTTGTTTTTTTTTTTAACTCAGTAAGCAAATAGTCCAAATGTTTTTTATATGTATCATGGGCGTGCTTAAATTAATAACATTTGCTTCTGCCTTTTCAGTTACACCTGTGCATATTTTTATTTCATTTTATTTGCTTTGACTACTATTCTCAACGACAAAATTCACTGTGGGATACATTGAAGGCACACAGGGACTGATAACTACAACAGACTCGGTATCAAAGTCAACTTAGACACAAATAAAACTAACAAAACTAGCCAATCAAAACACAACAATGGTTAGTTGTGGACTCAAGACGTGACGTTTAATAACGCAACAGAGCATTGGTGACTGACTTACATGTTGTAAGAGCAGATCGGGCAAAGAGTGACAACATCGCCCTTGAGACGACGAAAGCAGGATGGAGAGAAAAACAAACTAGAACCTCGACATACACGATTTTAGAGGAAGCGACGTTTTGCAGATCGACGGAAAAGTGAAATTACGTGAGCTGTGGATAGATTTTAAACAGGCGCCTCACCGAAACTCTTTCAGGTCCTTCGAGGCAGGCAGCGTCTTTACTCTTCTTCTCTTTTGTTTTGCCGGTACTGGCGTTTTGGCACACTAGCGCCCTCTATATTCAAATTGACTGGAAGTTTCTTTTACCTTTCACCTACTTTGTTGTTTAATTTAATCCTAATCCAGTCGTATCATAAATTTTACTCTAAGAAAATATGTTACAAAATAATGTTTTTTTCAATTTAAATACGGCATTTTCCACGTGTGTGTAAAGAAAAAACGTCATCACACACGGAAATTTTGTTCGCAGTTACTGTTTCTTGACGGTCTCAACGTCAACAGCGACTGGATTTTTACTTTTCATCTACTTTGTTGTTGGCTGTTATCAAAAACAATTCATATCTTTTTCCACTAAGAAAATATTTAGTTGCTTTTTGGTTTATTTGATTTTTTTTACTGCATCTAAATTGTTTAAGGTCATTTGAAGCGGAACTGTTGTTTGCCATTCTTGGTTCTTAACGAACTGTAGTTATAGTAACACGAAAAGGTGCATCGCAAAGGCCAGCTTTTTGACAACATATTTTCATTCTCAACAAAACTAGTAGATAGACGTGAAAATGTCTATTTTCACACCGACTAACCAAATCCGACTGACGAATGTGGCGGTGGTGCGGATGAAGAAAGCAGGCAAGCGATTTGAAATCGCTTGTTATAAGAATAAAGTTCTCAGCTGGCGCTCCGGAGCGTAAGTAAAGCGTCAAATGTTGATATTGAACAGTCCTGCATATATATTGCCTCTCCCTTTGTCAATGTTGTTGTCTTAATACATTTTCGTGTATATCCTAAATGTTGTTCATTCTCAACCTTTATTGAGCCAAGTAACAATTCCAAATGAGCTGTATGTCAAACAGAAAGCTGTCACTGGTTTGTTTTTTGTCCGCAGAGAGAAAGATTTGGATGAAGTTTTGCAGACAAATTCTGTTTTCGTCAATGTCTCCAAAGGCCAGGTGGCCAAAAAGGACGACTTGTGCAAAGCTTTTGGCACAGATGACCTGACCGAAATCTGCAAACAGGTCCAGTAACAATCTCCAGTGTAATATATACATTTGCACTCGAAAATAAGGCTTCAATGCACATCATTCTGACCGCTTTCCTTTGTGTTGCGTACGGACAGATCCTAGCCAAAGGGGAGCTCCAGGTATCTGACAAAGAGCGGCAGAGTCAGCTGGAATCCATGTTCAGAGACATTGCCACCATCGTTGCCGACAAGTGCGTCAACCCTGACACCAAGAGGCCATACACGGTCAGCCTGATCGAGCGCGGCATGAAGGACATCCACTACTCAGTCAAGGCCAACAAGAGCACCAAGCAGCAGGTGAAGACATCATGGGCGGTGCCTTTGTGGCATGGGATGCCCCATACTCACTCAGGAAACAAAAACTATCATCACCCATATAAAATTAGAGAATTACGAGAATGAAGCCACAATTATAATCGCAAAGTTTCAATGTGAGGTGACAGAGACGTTCGATGAGAAAAAAAATGCACTTTGGTTGTCAATCAGTTTTACAAGAATAAAGTTGTAAGGAGAATAAAATTTGAATTATAAATACATAAATAATTCTCAATTTTATCAAAGAGTCATAATATTACAAGAAGAAAATGCACAATTTTACAGAAATAAAGTTCCCACTATATAAAAAATAACATTGAAACATCACAACAATGGAATTTGCAAATACATAATTTAACAAAATTCAAGCTGAATTCCGGTTAAACGGTTGCATTATAATGGGGAATAAAGTGCTAAAATTAGGAGAAATACATTTTGAGATACTTCACAATTTTACGAGTCGAGTTTATTGAGAGTCGTAATATAACAAGAAAAAAACTCATAATGAATAAACGAACCATTTTGTGAATGTTTTTAATTTTACACTTTAACATTACAATAACTTTTTATAAGAGCATCGTCAGAGTTTTCCAAAAAAAAGAGCGGAATCTAACAAGCCTGAAGTTAAATTTGACGGCGGGTGCATAATAAACAGTCGTTGTCGAACAGGCTCTGGAGGTGATCCGGCAGCTGAAGGAAACAATGCAGATCCAGCGGGCTCACATGAGGCTGCGGCTTCTGCTGCCGGGCAAAGAGGCCAAGCGGCTGAAGGAGAAGCTCAAACCGCTCCTGCAGGTCGTCGAGAGCGAAGACTTTGAGGAGAACCTGGAAATTGTAAGATGGCCGTCGCACGCCACCCCCACCTTCTTATCTAAGGGCAATGTGAACTTTTGTCTTTTTTTTTTTTTAAGATGTGTCTGGTGGATCCCGGCTGCTACAGAGAGCTCGGCGAGCTGATCCGCTGCGAGACCAAAGGCCGAGGCTCGGTGGAGGTCATCAATCTGAAGGACGTTGAGGAGGGTGATGAGAAGCTGTAGGGAATATCTTCCATCATTTTAAAAAGAAGCTCAGCACTAATTCAGTTTCAATAAACACTCATCTTCTCGTTATGTTTCCCCTCTATGCTATTCGCATACTCTTTGGGAATCCTTGCTTGGCAGCACTTTTTCTTTTATTTATTTGTTTTACGGGCACATGTAAAATGCAAATGCCTATTTCACAATGTCACTTTCTTTTCGAGCAAGAACAAGTGAAAAGCCGTTTCTCGCAATGTCCACAGGTTAAGAATCGGAAATTCTTCATTGGCCAAGTCTGTTAAAACAAAGAAGACTATTTAACAAATTATACACTCAGCACAAAAACACAATTGTACAAATATTCTTCAGATAAGATGAGACCAAGTCAATTTTACAAGAATTAAGTTGTGATGTTTGGAAAGAAGTCATACATTCTATGAGGAAAAAAAGGACAACGATAAAGTGATATGTGAATTTTTCGTGAGAAATACCGGTAAACTTGAAATGTGACAAAAAGGTCATTTTAAGATGATAAAGAGGTCATTTTAAGAGGAAAAATATTACAAGAAAACGTATTAACTAATACTAATGCATGAGGAGTCTGCTCTGATGCAAAGACATCTTTCATAACAGCACTCTTTTTTTTTACTCAAGTTCAAGCCAAAAGTTAACGTAGTTTCTCACAATGCCCACAATGAATGACATCACAACCTCTTTCATACAGTCTTTAGAATCAAATAACATTCTGTTTGGTGATGTTTTTTGCTTCATGTAAGAGATACTGGTATGGTCTCCAGGGGGTCAACAAACGAAATAATGGAGGGGAAATGGAGTTGAATGTTCAATAATGAATGTAAACTTGAGAGAAAAATAAATGTATACCCAAATTACAGTCACTAAGTCTGCTCTAACACACACTGAAACAATAGCGGGTTGTTTTTTCTAACCCATTTGCTGGGTAGCTGTGGATTTTGAGCAGATTGGGTTACTTTTACCCAAGGGTTAATTATGTTGACCCAGCACATTGGACTGAAGAGCTGAAGCAACATGCGAGTGAATCGTTGTGGTGACACCTGATATGCTTCTTAAAAAACATTGGTAGTCAAATTAGTATTTTTAACCACGGCGACACAGATAACGTGATAACCCATCTCTTGCTAGCTTTAACTCGACAGTGTGCATAGTTTTCACCCCCTCAAATCCTCAACCCACGGTAGTCAAATTAGTATTTTTAACCACGGCTACACAGATAACGTGATAACCCGTCTTTTGCTAGCTTTAACTCGACTGTGCATAGTTTTCACCCCCTCAAATCCTCAACCCAATGCGCTGGGTATAAATAACTCAGAATTGGCTTGATCCTTTATTTGGACTCAGCACTGGATTAGCTGGTTCACCCAATTTGGGTTCATTTTGACCTAGTAGTTTTAAGAGTGACACCTTACTGTCTTTGTACTATTCATACATTCTCTATCCTGTACACGTTCCAGTAATATGGCACATAGAATGCTCTCTGCAGTGTTTATGCAATCAACGATGACGCAAATTATTGACTTAAATTGTAATTTCATACAGTATAGTACCCTAGTGGGTTGCATGTTTGCTTCACAGTTCGTGGTTTGAATCTTGGCTCCGGGTTTGTATCTTCTCCACATGCTTGCCTGGATTTTCTCTTTGTATTTCAGTACTTCAGCCAACATTCCCAAATCATCATGTTATACTCTGAAGGCAGGCGGGTCAAAAATAACCCAATTATGGCTCAAAAAGGGACCAACTGCTATTTGGGTCAATTCAACCCAATTATTATTTTTTTGCTCAAAACAGCCCCCCCAAATAATTTTTTGTTTAAAAATAATGGTTGAATTGACTCATGTCGCAGTTGGTCCCTTTTTGACACAAATAATGGCTTATTTTTTACCCAACTTTTTTTGGAGGACTGGTTCATTAGTTTGAAATTTTTGTTATGGAACAAAAAAAATTGGGATGGAGTACAGCTCACTTGCCTCCCTGACAGTATAGGAAAAGGGCAGATGGGCGCGAGTTATATGTGTTTTGGTGGGTGGGCACCACGGTGCGCTTGTAGTTGGACCGCTGCCTCATCGTCGACATGGTCTGCGGTCGAATCTCAGCTCAGGCCCTCCTGCATGGGTTGCAAAAACACGCATGTTAGGTTCACTTATGACTCAGCGTAAAACTAAGTGTGGACGCTTGTTGCTATGTAGATTTTAAATTGAATTTGAATTTCTCTTTCTTCACTGAGAAAAAAGTTCGTATATCCAAAAATTCTGTGAACAAAACAAAAAAATCAAACTCGGATGGCAAAGGTAACCAATTTACCAATTAGGCGAGTGTTTTGGTTTTTTTTTTCCCCCCTCACAGTGATGCTATATGATACTTTTTCATGACTGGACTTAACGGATTTTTCAAGATGCAAGTTGTTGATTACCCCAAAATTAAAAAAAAAAGAATTGTTTTCTTTGTTCTTGGAAAAAGGCTTCAAGTTGTTTCCTGCCACTCTCTGTTGAAGATAACGGTCAAATGGAACAGAAAACTAAGAATTACACATTGATAGTTTAGAACAAGGGTGTCAAACATACAGCCCGCGGGCCAGAACCGGCCCCCAAGGAGGTTCGATCCGGCCCGCGGGATCATTTAAAAGTGGAAAAAAAAATACATTAAAGACACAGAATGGATATTTTAAATAAAAAACCAAGTTGTGGATTATCCGCTAGGGGGCGCACTGTTTTGATCACAGTAGAAGACAACATTGTTTTGATCAGGGAAGAAAACAGCAGTCTCAGTCTATCACCGAGATAGTCCCAACGCAGCAAATGATATGAAAGCGCCAATCAATGCTTCTTGAGACCAAAACAAAGGAAAGAGATGATATTTTGGTGATTTATAGCACAGTATGATATAATGTTAATGGTTTGGCCCACTTGACATCTACCGAGTCCGTATGTGGCCCACAATGTGAAATGAGTTTGACACCCCTGGTTTAGAACAACAGTCTGTTTAGCTTAATGCTAACATGCAATGCTAAACACCATTGGTGAAAAATCGAATCTATGTCACAGTGTTTTAATCTTTTAAGCAACGGACATTTGAGCACAAACGGTAAACCAACATGTCGACGAATAATAAGATCATACAGCGAATGACTACTATGACTGCATCTTACTGAGATGACATTCTATTCAATTATGTTATTACATGTGTTTAGGAAGTACAATATTAAAAAGTGCTATTTCTCTTATCATATAAAACATGTAACAAACATTTTTCTTGAATTTTGTTGTGTGCCTGGAACGGATTGATGACATTTCCAGTCATTCTAATGGGGAAAGATAATCTGAAATTTTCACCTATTGCCGGTGGGACTAAAAACTAAATAAACACAGTTTACTGTACGTGCACGGTGATTGGCCATTGAGTGATAAAGCTCAAAATCAGCTCACCCGTGACAAATGACGTCCAGCTCTGTCAAAAACGAATGGTTGGGTACCCCACAACCTCCGCATCAGATGGGCACGGACCCACGTTGGTACTGGCTGTGGGTGAAGGTGGCCCTGTTGATCCTGTTGAGCGGGTGCGTCGCCTCCTCCGGATGTCGCGGCCTCGAACCCTCCACGGCCTGGACCGGTCCCTCGGAGGCGGTGGGACACAACGTGGTGAGAAGGGTACCCCCAGTTATCGTCAGCGCAAAGGCGACCCATCCCAAATACAACGCCGGTCCCCAGTCCCTCCTCAGGTGCAGGGCTCCCTCCAACCGATGGCTGGTGTGGTGGCAGGTCCAAGCGATAGGAATCAGAATAAGGATCCCTGATAAAATGTACGTGGCCCCGGAGAACACTTTAACCTGCCCCCGCTTGGGGAACCACCCAGCTCCGGCCGCACCCACCACGGTGGCAAAAGCACCTGCGCCCACCGCGGCCATGATGAGGGCCCTCCATGTTCGGAAACTCCCGGAGAGGGACATGAGCGACCGGTAGAATGAGCAGTGCAGCTGCCCTTCGTGGGCCAGGTCCCAGTGATCCCATTCCAGCCACACCCCATCCCAGTAGGCCGGTAGCGTGGCCGTAGAATTGTCCAAAGTGCCACTGACCGTCCAAAAGGCCATGCAGCGAGTCAAGATGGCGCAGAGCCACCCAGAGAGGGCCAGACCCAGGCCCGCCAGCTCCAGATGCCGGCGCATGTCGACTCGCGAACCCTCGCGGACGGGGTGGGGCATCCCAACCGCTGTCACGTCGTGTTTGTCATGGGGAAACCGGTCGAACGGCGTTAGAGAGCAGAGGAAGGCGTAGCCCGAGAGGAATTCTCTGTTTGTTCTGACATCGTACCAAAACAATCCGACTCTCCCAGCCTGAGCTGTCAGCAGGCAGAACAAAAGCTCTTCTGTGGGCTTTTCTACTCTCTGACAAGAACCCAATTTAAAGGAAACGTATTTATTTATTTTTTTTGCATGAGAGCAGTGCATGAAAAAAGTCTCCACACCCCGTGTTCAAATACTTTTGTGATGTAAAAAAATAATACCAAGATACTTCACATCAAAATGTTTTCTAAAGTAGGAGTTGATTCCTCGGCATTTACAAATTAAATTCTAATGGTTGCACAATGCGATTGAATAAATTCCTTCTTAACAATCTATTCTATTCATTTCATAGCAGCTTTTGATGATCAATTTTTTTGGGGTCCAGTCAGATTTCAGCATCTGTATCTTGCCATGTCAATTTCATCTGCCCATGGCCTTCTGAATTAGTCGTGCTGGCTGACGTAACTTCAACTCTATTACCAATGAGAATGTTGACATAATCAATCAGATTTCATCGGGCAAGCTAGGCCCTCAATGACATCATCATTTTTCTTGCCTCTGATTGGTTCGTCAGAGGAAAATTTGTTTCAGCCAAGTTCAACCAGCATACATTTGACTATTAGCATCTCTGACAAGTAGAATGCATTTTTGTTTCAATTAGTTGTTAGTTGCGTGATGTCATGTTGCATTTTTTTTTTGGTTTGTTTTTTTTTATAATTGTAACGTGGTAGTGGTTGTAATAAGCGGTGAAATCTCAAGGCACAGGTACCAAATGCAAGGCCCGCCACTACGATCCTAAACGTAGTTCTTGATGGCGTAGCTGCTGTTCGTGGGCCTTCTGGCCATCGTGTACCCCCCAGAATGTATTACAGCCCTGAGTGACGGCCTACTCGCACACAAGATGCCCCCACCGCACAGTAGCAACCCTGATGCAACAAAGCCGATATAAATCGCTGCCCCGAGCTCCCGCTTGAGTACATCAGGGACGCGTGGGTTATAGAAGTCTCTGATCACATCGTTGGCCGTCCACGACACGGCCACCGCGGCGGCGAGGCCCGCCAGGCCGAAGACAAGGCCCGAACCCAGCACCACCCGCGTCTTGAAGCGTGGGTGGCTCAGGCACTTGGTGCAACGGGCACCCAGGAGAAAGACCAGGAAGCCAAGGCACCCCAGGAACAGGCTGATGCAAACCAGGCCGCGAGCCGCCTGCAGCTCAGGAGACAGATCCAGCAGGGCATCATAGAGCTTGCATTGCATCTGGCCCGTGTACTCGCTGACGCACGTCATCCACAGACCCTCCCAGAAGACCTGCATGACCACCAGTCGTGTCCCGATGAAAGCCGTCACCTTCCACATAGGCAGGGCGCAGATCAGCATGGTACCAGCCAGGCCCAGCATAGCCAGGATAATGCCGAGCTCTTGCAGGGCCATGTTGCACCTAAAACCAGAGGTGGGAGTAAGTCACAGTCACAGTTGTGAAGTCATAAGTAGAGTCTCAAGTGTTAACTTTTAAGTTTCAAGCAAGTCTTGAGTCACCGTGGAAAATTTAAGCACATTATGTCCAGTCCCCCAAAAGGTTCAAGCAGTTTGAATCAAGTTGTACGATACTGATCATTCACACAACACACATTCAGCACAATAGCCACTTTGCACTCTGTAACTGTACTTGCAGCAACACTTTCATTGAAATGCAAGACTTGTCAAGCCATGAAGTTTGAGTGAGTCAAGTATATTATTTTAGTTTTCAACTTTTTCGGTATCAGGTCCTATCCATCTGTCACGGTTCTGTTTGTGACCAAAAGGTGGCACTGTAGGGCTCCGCCTGCACACCTGTTGGTCGTTGTGTCATTAGTTTGTTTGTTTAAAAGGACTCCCGGCACGACCACTTGGTGTCAGGTCATTGTTTGTTGCTGTCATTGTTTTCTGTTGGTGATTCTGTTCCTATTCGTCTTTTGCTTCTGCCATGGGTTTGTGTTTGTTACTTTGGATTCTTGCTGTCTTCAGGTTTTTGTTTTGGATTTAGTTTTCTCAGTGTTTCGTTAATACCGTTTGTCAAGTTCACCCTGCTCCTCCCTCCTGCCTGCTTTATAGGGTCCTCCACCACCACCGCAACATGACACCATCCATCCATTTTCTAATCTGTTTATCATCATGACGGTCGATGGCCTGGAGCCTATCCTAGCTGTCTCTCGGGACACCCTGAACTGGTTGCCAGCCAATCGCAGGGCACACAGACACGAACAAGCATCAACGCTCACACTCACATCTAGAGTCTTCCATTAGCCCACCATGCATGTTTTTGGAACGTGGGAAGAAACCGGAGTACCCGGAGAAAACCCACGCAGGCACGGGGAGAACATGCAAACTCCACACAGGAAGGCGTAGCCAGAATCGAACCCTGTACCTCTGCACTGTGAGGCCGACGTGCTAAGCAGTCGATCACCGTGCCGCCCCCGAGCAAGTCCCAAGTTCTAAAAATGTACAATTTAGGTCTGACGCAGTCATGTGACCCCAGTATACCCACCCCTGCCTAATCTCACAAAACAAGCATCGTCAAACATGTCTGTAATTCGAGCTAAGTGGATTAGTTTGTCACTTCAATTCATCAAATAAACTATTTGAGTCTTGAGGATCACATGATGCAGTAAACTCACTTCATTCCAACCTATATTTGAAATGTTACAAACACACTAGATGGGTTCTCAAATATTTGGGATGCAGGGACCCATTGAAGAGGAGAAAATGTGTGTATTTCATATCAGAATAAATCAAATGCTAACATGCTAGCAGTTTGTATGCTATTGTGCAGAAAGATAGCAACCATATTTTCTGTCCATGAACAAATTACTTGTTGTAAATGATACATTATTCGTAGCAAACAATTTTGCGGACCCCAAAGGAATGGCTTGCAGTACCCCGGTTTGAGAATCACTGCTGTAGTTTGTTGCCAAAGCAATGGGGGCGGGGGTTGAAGGAGGCCGACAAACCGGTTCTCCTGGAACTGAAGTCAACAAACAACAGGCGTGAGAACCAAAAGATTACATTTACTGTGATGAGAAACATCGACAAACATTAATATGTTTAAGAAATACTGAATAGAAATACAAATCAGCCTTGGTGCTTTGTGTCTTCAAAGCATGCCAGACAACGTACATCTTCATCCAAAGTCTTTTTCCTTCATGGCAGGAGTAAAACAAAGAAACGTCATAAGTGTCCATTCGGTGTCTGACACCCGGAACAGTTAGTCACAGAAGTAAAATGAGAACATGTCATCGCTTGGAAGCCAATGTCACTTGACACAGTGGGTTACAGAGGTCCTTTGTACAAAGAGAAAATGTCACATTTGCTCATACAATGTTCGACACTCAGAGGTACAGTTGTAAAATCTCTGAAGTGTCCATCCGACGTTCTCACAGTAAATAAAATCACAGAAGGAAAAGAGTTACAACTGCCATCGAGCGTCCAATACCCGAAATGGTAGGTCACAGTGTAAAATGAGAAACTGTAACTATCAAGCCAACATCTGACTCCCAGAACATTAAATCACAGAAATAAAAGAAGACAATCTGGTAAACTGTCCATCCAACAGGCACGCAAAACTAACTACACAGTTCTAAGACTTTGACAGAGTTCTTTATTTTTGAGCAAATTAAAATCAAAACTGTCCACCTACTTTTGCACCCACCTGTACACATACAGTAACGGAATATATTTTTAAAAAAATGTCATACAGCGACTGTCTTTTTCCTTCATGTTCCCTATTGAAGCTTTTTCATGACTCGTCTCAAATGTATGTTTTTGTCGGCGTGCCTGAGCCCATTGAGTCGGGTTTGCTGTACGCTCCCATGGACCTGTCCATCAGGTAGCGCATCGACGGTGCCTCGTCCCTCTTGGGGGGGCAGCTGGCGCACAGGAGCGCCCCTCCCAGCAGCAGAAGCCCTCCCGCACCCCAGCCGATGTAGAGAGAAGCCCCCAGCTCTCTTTTCTGAGCGTCCACCAAAGTCGGGTTGTAGAAGTTCCTTATGATGATACTGGCAGTCCAGGACACGGGGATGATGCAGAGGAATCCGCTGATGATGAGAAGAACCCCGCTGGCCACCGAAGCCCTCGCTTTGGCCCTTTTGTCCGGGATGAAACTGGTACACTTTCCACTGGCGAAGGCCACCAGAACACCGGCGAGCCCTACGATGATGGAGACCACCACCAGGGCCCGGGCGGCCTGGAGGTCCTGGCTCAGGGCCAGCATGGAGTCGTAGACCTTGCACTGCATTTGGCCCGTGCTCTGGACCACGCAGCTCATCCACAGACCCTCCCACATAATCTGCGACGTGACGATGTTGCTGCCGATGAAGGCTGAGACGCGCCACATGGGCGAGCCGCACGCGATCAGCACGCCGATCCAGCCCAGGAGGGCCAGGGCGCAGCCGGCCATCTGCATGCCCATGGAGGGCATGACGGCGGTCAAGGTGGCGCTTCGGAGAACTCGGTGAGAAGGTAATATCGGGAGGCGATCGGCTGCCCGAATGCGCCGCACACACATAATGGGAGGCGTGAAAGCCGAGGACGCATCACAGGCCCGTACAAAAGAAGACCTGCCGTTCAAGATTCTTTGTCGTTTGTCAAGGGTGATGTTATTATTCCTCTGCACGGAGGGTTGAGTTACTGCAGTCTGCTCGATACTCTCAACAAAGAGACACAAAGTCATCATTTGAGTACATTGTAATCGGAAAGTTTCACAACAGTGTGTTTTTCCATTTCATATTATCATTATTAATAATAATAATAATAATATTGCATTTTATAAAGATTTTCTTAAATCCTTTCATGAGACCCCACTGAAAAAAATGATACTATGCTGCAATGTAAAATAGTCAGTGTACAGCTTGGATAACAGTGTAAATTTACTATCCAGTCAAAAACTCTAATCTGCTGGCAACAAAAGTGAGTAAACCTCAAGGGGAAACGATCCACTGTGGCCAAAGCGTCAATATATAATCTAGGGCTCTTGCGCCTATGGGCTTTAGGCCTAACATGTGCTGAGATAAATAGAGCTGCTCATAGGCAGTGATTGTCATGGGTGCCACTAGAGGGAGCCCATATTGCACTTCGAGAATCACGGATCGAGGAACTTTAAACAAATGCGACAAATGTATTTTGGTCAGCATTGGACCCAGTTTTGATTTACAACCAAGTCCACTAATTGGATTTCATTAGTTTCGCCGATAATTTTTTTCTTTGATGAAGCCAACATATTTGATGAAGTATTTTTTGGTGAACAAACCTAACAGATGTACAACAGTTGCCTTTTTGCCTGGATTACAGTATTTATTTTTTTTCTGGCAATTTACCGAATGTTTTTGTTTTCATAAGCTTTAAAAATAATTCGAGTCTTCAGTGAACCTAATGAACAGTACTTGTTTTGGAAAATTTTAACCATGATCTTCTCGATCGTTCAACAAACCTGATTTTTTCAATTTCGTAAAATTTAGCACCTTCGATAAGCCCGAAATACTTGTTTTGGTAAACACAATTTTGAGTCTTAACCTAACATGCGTGTTTGTACAAACATGAAGGACAATTTAGAGGCTCCAACCCGAACGCACGGTTTTTCATAAATATCATGTAAGTTGAGGGGTTCGTAGGTTTTGAATGGATGGCTCTACGTTCGGAATGGGCAAAAAGGAGAAATGGACTTCGTTTGAACGTAGCTTTTGTTTTTTCAACGTCTGCACCTCCGCAACTCCCGTACGAACACACCTTCTTCCCCAGATTTATTATTGAACACATTGACTCTGACTTTATGCTATACTGGAAAAATGTACTATTTGGGTTCTACAAAAGTAAGGAAAAAAAACACTAAACAAACCTTCATTATAAATTTAAGAATTATTCCCGCCAAGTTCCATATCCACAAATCCAGATGGAGTAATTTAAAACCTCTTTTCTTAATTTTTGAAACAGAAATAAAGCAGTACCGAAGTTCTATTATGGATTCTAAAAACAAGAAAGCTGTTAAAACTCTGGCTATATGCTCCTTATTTGAAATTTTTGTTTAAAATCCCCTGGCTTCTTTTTTGTTTAAATGTTTGTAATATGTCTATGTATTAATAACATGTTCATTTTGTTTTCTGTTTATTGAGAATTGTACTATGACTTGTTCGAATAAAGATTCATTTAAAAAAAAGAACACACCTTCTTCCGGTAACGAAAACATTTCCTGTTTTCTTCGCCAATCAGATGCAAGCAACATTAGAATGTTTCAGCAATTATGAAACAGAATATAATTTAGGTAACTGTAACATAAAAGAATATAATGCTCAAATGTAAAAATGATAATAATTAACAATTTAACAAAAGCTTACACATCACACAGATTTTGAGTCTTCAGTGAACCTTAGCAGACTTATTTTGCAAAAATTGAACATCAAATTAGAGCCCTAACCCTATATCCTCCTCCAAACTCAAGTGTTTCCTCAAAGCAAATTGTTGACAGTAAGGTAGCAATTTCATCGCCTTCCTTCCAGTACGTTATGCGTGAGAAAAAGTGTCTCTGAGGGAGCCAGTTTCCTTTTGTGTACTTGTGCAACTGTTTATGCGTTGTTGTCGATGTACATTTGTCATATTTACATTTTAAAAAAATGACCTTACGCAATGGTGACCGAAAGGTTTGTTCACTCCTTAGTGGAGAAATGTATGCCGGAAGTGATACTTTTGTTTCCTGCCGAGTGTTAACGTAATTACTACCGCGTGACTTGGTAGGAATGAACGTGAATGCCACAGTGAAGAATGCAACGGTGAGTACCGGGTGTGTTCACAAAAGAAAACTGCACGTCATGATGCAGCGACTGTGAAGTGAAACGGCTGAAAGACTGATTCACACTGAAACTTTTGTTGACGGATATTGTCAACTGACAGGGAAGAACTCATTTGACTGAAACCAAAGTCTCCATCAAGACTGAACTGAGCAATTTGTGCGTGTTTGAATGGTAACAGAACATTTAACGTTGCTTAATGTAAGGCAACAAGGCTGCACATTTTTTTTCAAAAACTCGGGGTGGAGTAACAATAATCAAGCAAATACCTCTAGCAAAACTGAAAAAAAAATGGCCTGAGGATATTTGAACACAAACAGCGCAGCAGCACATCTAGACAGATAATAAAGCAATACTTATGGACATATATTCTTTGTCACCTCCAAAGATTGACTAATACTTGTCGAGCTTAATGAGAAGCTTTGACTGTCTTTATGTATAGCCGCATGTCTGTCTTTCATGGAATGCCATTGGTTAAAAAAAGCAAAATATCGTTGGAAACTGTGGAATGATCATGGTGAAAGATATGGAATGATGTAGAATTTTATGCAAGTTATTGAAAGATATGAATTAATAATCAAGGATAGTGGTGAAAAATGTGCAATATATAAGTTAGGGAAACGTGCAATGAAATGGAATAATAATGAAAGACATGGAATTATGTGGAATATGCGGAATGAGGTCGGTGAAAAATGTGCGACATGGTGAAAAATGTATCATTTTTGGGAGGTGGGAATTTTCTGTAGTTGAAAACCCAAGGAAAGCTGAATGAAGTGAACATTTTGAATTGAAAGGACCGATTTGAATCTGCCTTGCTGAATGTTTCTTTGGGAATGAATGGGGATTTGGAGAATGTAGAATCATGGGAAAACTGAATTTTTACAATGGGAAAAATAATTGCCCGCAAGATGTGAATTGTTGCAATATATTCAAAGTGGAATGGTGAGAATCAAGTTTAATGTGGAAGTAGAAGCATATGGAAAAAAGTGAGTAAAAATATCATAACATCTAATTAAAGGTTATTTGAGTTGTGTATTAAGTAGCACGAAACAGCTCAGTTTAAAACAGGGTTGGTGACCCCCTGGATCCACTGTGTTTGATGCGAGTTTCACGAGAATGTCGACACGGTACAACCAGGTGAACCGGTTGAGCATCTGCGGGAAGAACAACTCGATTCCCTTGCTTCAGGACTTAGACCTTGGTGACCTACTTCGATATAAACCGACAAAGTCTGGCAATCAAAGAAAGTGTTGTCAAGTTTATAGACATATATTTGGTCACATGATGACTTCAAGAAATTCTGTCATTCACAACCATGCACATTTATGTTATTAGTATTACTGCACTATTATTATGATGATTATTTTGCTTAATGACACGCTTTATTCATACATTTGTGCGTACTGGATGTTTTGTTTGTTTTGTTTTGTTTTATTTTTCTTCTATGGCAGGGGTCCCCAATTTTTTTCCTGTAAAGGCCAAATAACTTTTCCCTTCTCTGACGGGGGCCGGGGTTAGTTTGTAACAAAAAGGTGTGATGATCGCAGAGGTGTCTAAAGGTAAATATTCATTGTTTTCCAAAAAGCCGAACGGAACTGAAAATTAACCCTTTCAGGGATGTTGACTCCCCCCACCCCACAAATGCATCGACTGAATACATTTTTTATCTCATCTAAACCTTTCGCCATTATTTTGTTTTATTTGACAGTGGTGTGTCCCGAATTTTTTATTTTTTATTTTTTTTGAGGGAGGGGTTCAGATAGGGCACACACTTTAGAAGGGTGGAAAACGATGTTACGTTCTATGCATTTACAAGTCTCGATCAAGTGGCCATACTGAAAAAAAAAATGAGGAGGTGGGCCATATCCGGCCCGCGGGCCATAGTTTGGAGACCTCTGTTCAATGGTAACTCGAGTGATTCCAAAATGTATTTCAACATACTTGGCCATAATAAATGATTTGAATTCTGATTCTGATGTGGTGGAAAAAGCACATTGACAAAATGGTGTTAGTGTAAGCAAATGATTTATTAAATATCAGTAAAATTGGTAAAAAAAAAAGATAATGAAAGAAGAACATTTTTTTACACAAAACACATTTACAAGATAATATGTGGCTGTACAAATAGCTTCCCATTGTTGTTGCTTTTATGGTTCAAGATGAATATAAATTTGAGCTCAGTCCTCAGGCAGTTTTCATGCCTCGTTATCTAACCTTAGTTCACAAACTTAATTCATTCTGAAACTGAAAGAAAATACAATTCATCCGTTCCAGTACCATGTTACATTTGTCTTCTTTTTGTTGGTGGGTTTAGTTAAGAAGAATTACAAAAATAAATGTCAACACATTTCATTGTAAAGATTTTGCCAAACCAAACTGCTTCGTGAGATTAGAAATACAAACACCGTTGTCATGTTTGGCATTAGACATTAGACTTTAAGACTGAGGGCCTATTTTAGAGAAAAACAGCAAAAAAAAAAAGAAAAAAAAAGAAATAGCACAACTGATTGTTCCGTATGGATGCTGTGACGGAAGCACAGTTCGTAAACCGGAGCAAGATTTGCCGGAAAATCAACTTTTCCATAAAAGCGGTTGTCCGTGAACTGAGGTTCGATTGTACTTGAAAGTCTTGTTTTTCCTGGCCAGGGTCAGTCCTCAGACGTAGGCCCGACTGGTGGCTGTGGATCTTGCGCCCGAGTACTTGACCGGGTACTCGGGTCCGTCCTTGGGTGGGCACGAGCTGCACAGGAGAGCCCCACCCAGGATGAGCAGGGCCGCCGTACCCCAACCGATGTAGAGGGCTGCGCCCAGCTCCCTCCTCTGCGCGTTGGTCAAGATTGGGTTGTAGAAATCCCGGATGATGGTGTTGGCCGACCAGCACACGGGGATGAGTACCAGGACCCCGGCGCAGATGAATACCACGCCTGCCGCGACCGCCACCTTGGCTTTGGCCACCTTGTCCTCCACGAAGTTGGTACACTTTCCCCCAGCGATCCCCAGGATGATCCCGAAGCCCGCAATGATGATAGCGATGACCACCAGGGCCCGGGCGGCCTGGAGGTCCTGGGGAAGGGCCAGCAGGGAGTCATAGATCTTGCACTGCATCTGGCCCGTGCTCTGCATGACGCAGTTCATCCACAAACCCTCCCAAATCACTTGCGCCGTCACGATGTTGGCACCGATGAAGGCGGTCACCTTCCACATTGGCAGGGCGCACACGATGATGGTCCCCAAAAATCCGATGATGGCCAGGATGAAGCCCAGCATCTGGCGGCCCAGCGACACCATGATGACGTTTTTGTTTTTCGCAGAGGCAGGAGGGAAGAATTGAACGAGTCGGTTCAGTTGAAGAATAACCAGCTCCAAGTGTTTGACTTGGTTTTAAGGATGACGAACCCTACGTGGGGTGGAGTCAAGGAGCCACAGTTTTAACTGAAACCGGCCATAAACCTGCCTGACCGGATTCCTCACAGAGGACCGAGGAGAGTTTCGACAAGATTAACATCATCAGTTCCTCCGTGACTTTATGTAAATGAGGCAACATTCTTGATTCAAACAGCGCTCCGACACCCAATTGGTGGGTTGCTACTCACTTCCGGTTTTCAAAATGACAAACTTTTGAGGTGTGGTACTATCAGGGGGGAGTTTGATGGTCTTGTTGTTGTGGAAGTGGACACTATTGAACGGAGTGCTTTCACTTTTAATTTGATTTTTTTTTTTTTTTTTAAATTCCTGATACGGGAGTACAACAATACTTTGTGAGCCTATTAGCATAGTTGCCTTGGTCATGTGTTCATAAAACAAGAAAAAAAAATTTCACAAGCACATTGGTATTTGCTTTTTTAATTGACCCTCTAACAGTCAGTCAAAAATGACTTAGAAATTATACTATGAGGCTAACAAATGGTAAGCGTTATACCAACTTATTTATCATTTCCTTCTTTATTAATTTAATTTGATGTCATATTTCAGAGATGTGAATATTTTCTTGAATGGCCTCGACGATTAATGGACCTCACCCCAATTGATTTCTTCTTGAGGGGCGTGACTTGTTAAAGATGAAGTCTAATCAAGAAAATGACGCAGGGTTGATGACATGTAAATTCATCAGAGAAGCATTCAAAGAAATTGCTAAAAGTAACGTGGGTGTAGTATCATGCGCTTGAGTGTAGAAACTCAACTTCCGGAATGTATGATACGCAATGATATGTTATTCTATTTGTGACCTCATACAGGTCTTGTTTCAACAGCTAGCTATATATATATATATATATATATATATATGTGGGAAAATATTTTGGGTGCAGATTACTTTCTTTTCTTAAACCGGTATTGTGGAAAATTTTCACATTTCATTCCAAATGGAATTTCTAAAATATTTTTGGGTGAAGGGGATGGGGGGAGTCAGAGCGTGTACTTAGTAACTGATGCCACATAAGAGGTCTGGTGTTCATTCAAATATTTTATTACACATTCAGAGTTGTAATATTTACAAAAAATCAACAAATCACTAGTACAAAAAAAAATGGAGAAAATAACATGCAACACAATGGTCAACTCCGGTGCAAACGAGCATTTAGATGATGCCACATAATGAAAACATACATTAGTGTCATTCAAGACGAAATCCAATTGTCCTTAGTTGTGAATGGACTCACAATTTCGGTTGAAAAATTCCAGGAAATTTCAAAGTTCAAAATGTTTAATTTGAAAGAAATGAAAAAAAAAAGGGTTCCCCTGCTTTTCGTGGGAAATAAGGACAGTGGCCGGCCTGTGAAGACCAAAAAAATGTGTATGATTGACGGCCATTGTAAATGTATTAAAAAAAACCTTACCTCCCCCTACAAATTTGTGGGGGGAAAAACAGGTATGAACCGTCAATAAGCATTCTCCATTAAAATCGAGGACTGGATCATGACCCCTGAAAAAATACAAAAAAAAATTTGTAAAAAATATTTTAAAAAATCAGTCAAAAGTCGAATCTACGGTAAATTTTAGCATAATCTCAACGAAAACAATCTGATTTCATGTAATTTCAGTGGTACCTGGATTTATGTGCCCTAACGTTTTTTTGAGTTACAAGTCTGTTATTATTATTATTTTTTTTCAATGAGAAAAAAAACTGCAAATAAGTGAGGGATTGTTTCAAAAAAGCAAATAAGTGGGAAATGAGGAAAAAGATACAACGAATGAGTGAGGGCTTCCGTGAATAACGACAATTGGTTCCTGCCAACAATCTGCGAATAGGTGAATCCACAAATATGCTGGGATCCACTGTATTACCAACATTTCCCAATCGATCAACAAATATCCATTCCTTTAAACTCATTTGCACAATAATGCCACATTCCAGTCATTTTCCAGTAGAACACACGCCATCTTGAGTGTGTACCTCGACACTGTGTTGATAGCGTCAGCAGGACGAAACCGATCCGGTCTGCAGTCTGTTTTGGGGTTTAAATGTACTCCCGCGGCGAGTATCCTGTGGGGGCTGCGTACGGCTTGGCGGGGTAATATGAGCCGCTCGGCGTGTAGGGCTGACTGGAGGGTGGCGCGTAAACAGGGGCGTACGCGGACCCGTTGCCGTACGCTGACCCGTACGGGGCCTGGTAACGCGGGTATCCATACGTGGGCCTCTGCGGTGGACACGAGGTGGTGAGGATGATCCCGCCCACGAGGAGGATGACGGTGGACCCCCAGCCGATGTAGATGGATGCCCCGATCTCCCTCCGCTGTTCGTTGATGGTCAAGGGGTTCTGGAAGTCGGTGATGGTGATGGTAGCCGACCACGTGACCGGGATGAGGACAAGCACGGCGGCCAAGATGATCAGGCAGCCGCCAATGATCACCACCTTGGCCATGGAGGCCTCCTTCGTCAGGCAACTGGTGCATTTGGCGCCGATGAAGGTGATCATGAAACCGATGAAGCCGAAGACAAGGGAGATGATGACCAGTGCCCGGGCCGCCTGCAGGTCAGGGGTCAGCCTCATCACCGACTCGTTGAGCTTGCACTGCATCTGGCCAGTGCTCTGCATCACGCAGTTCATCCACAACCCGTCCCACACGATCTGGCCCGTCACGATGTTGGCACCGATGAAGGAGGTGACCCTCCACATGGGGATGCCGGTGGTCACTGCTACTCCCACCAGCCCGATGAAGCTGATGATCTGACCCGCCGTCTCCTTGCCGATCTTCCCCATGGCCAAGAGGCTGCGTACTGGACCGATCGACGCTCAGAAGCTAGCAGCTGCCTCTCTCTCTCTCTCTCTCTCTCTCAACGACCGGGTGGGTGGGGTGGTTCCTCACTTGCGGTTGTCAGGTGAGTTCTTCTCGCTAAACTGGATTCTCCTCTCACAATTGCAGGTGTGGCGTTGAGAGAAAAACACTCTTTCCTTGACCCTGGATTGGAACTCCAATTTCAATTGCTAACCTTGTCTTCAATTGGTTTAAAAATTTTCAAAGAAATGTTTTCCTTTTGTGGACAAAAAATATATATATTTTGAGACATTTTTGTATGACGACTGATGATTTACATTTTTTTTTTTTTTATTGTAGCGACAATTTAGATGCACACAGATGACTGATTTGTGGGTTTTTTATTGCTCTCTATCATTTGAGTATACAAATGAAACCCACTTTGCCCCCCCAGACATCTATTTTTCTCCAATCGTGGCCACAATATACAATATAGACATAACACGTAAGGCTAATTTGTGGCTTTACTCTAATTTACAACAATGTAAATGTCCGTGTAAGCAAATGGAGCGCACCTTTGCTTGTATTTCTAGAGAGGGCGTGCTCCATTTGCTTACCTGACTGCCCAGGATGATATAGACACAATTTATTTAGTAATTTGTGAAGACATGTCTATATTGTGGCCATTTTATTTCCCCCATGTCATGTCTGGGTTTGCAATCCCCGTTCCTTCCCTTTTCGTAAATTATATCACTTCCTGTGAGACATTTTCGGATCGCGTGCTAACAGTCGGCAACCAAAAGTGTCGCATACATTCTTAGCCAGGATGATAATCATCGGCAGCAGTCAACGGGAAGTTTGTCAACTCATCAAACACACCACACTGCCACTGAGCATCAGATGACACACAGTTCGGTCATGATTACACAAACAGTGTTTCATCACTTTCGTTTTCAAATGTCAATCCAGTATTCCAATCTGTTGTGTGCATGACAGTGAAACGAATGGAATAGTACGATGAATTGCAGTGGCTATAATTTTGAAAAACTATCTCCATTTCAGAGTGGCAATACAGTAGTTACCTGGCAAAAGTTGTGGAGTTGTGAGAAGTAGATTTCATTTTCATGAGACTTAAGTCAGATATTTTCATAGGGGGAAAAGTAACATATTTTTGCTAATTCAAAAGAAGAGAAGAGAAGATATTATATATTATATTGTCTATTTGTTTCTTTGTTATCTGGTGACCAGTCCTAGTGCCCCAAAGTCAGCTGGGATAGGAAATGAGGACAGGCGCAATGAAAATGCCTGGATGGATGCTGGATGTTTCCAGTGCTTCCAGTGACCACATGCAACAAGTGTAAGAATTCATGACGGCTTTATTTATGGAAAATCATAGCGACTACACACAATACAGGAAATATGAAGTATGTGATGGTTATGCAAAAGGACTATTTTTTGAATAGATGAATAGCATTTCAATTGTGAAAACTTCATTTGATATACAGCCAACCCTTGTTTATTACATTCCAGATGACCCAATATATGCACGTGAGCTGCAGGTTTTGCGGTCCACTTGGGGTCCCCATCCTCATATTGTGCACTATAGTATTTGTGATACTGAATGTGTGTGTGCCTTGAAGAGGTGGCCCTGGCCTTTTGTTTGATGTGATACTCACCGAACGAACGCAAATATTGGCCAACAACTGTTATATATATATTTTTTTTTTCCCCCCGAACGTCATTTATAGAATAGATTCCGTTTAATTTTGGTGGCTAAGTCCGAAAATGTCAATATTTTTGACAATTAATTGATTTTGACAATTCACGTTTTACAAAATCTACCTTGATCGTTACTCAAAGGAGCCAGCCAAACCTCATTTGTTACATTCCAGATGACCGAATATATGCATGTGAGCTGCAGGTTTTGCTGTCCACTTGGGGTCCCCATCCTCATATTGTGCACTGTAGTATCTGTGATACTGAATGTGTGTGTGCCTTGAAGAGGTGGCCCTGGCCTTTTGTTTGATGTGATACTCACCGAACGAACGCAAATATTCGCCAACAACTGTTATATATATATTTTTTCCCCCCGAACGTCATTTATGGAATAGATTCCGTTTAATTTTGGTGGCTAAGTCCGAAAATGTCAATATTTTTGACAATTAATTGATTTTGACAATTCACGTTTTACAAAATCTACCTTGATCGTTACTCAAAGGAGTGTTTCTACTTCCACGTCACCTGTTTTTGTATTTGTTTCCTGCTAATGCTGCCTCATTTTCAGAATAATTCTCGCTTGATTTTCACATGAAACATGATTCGCATATAGAAGGCTCTCGGCAATAACGATTGCCGTCTTTCACAATATTGCATTAAAAAAAATGACAGAATACTGCTTCAAAGAGCTTGAAAAAACAGCGTTATAGCATAAAAAGAATACCAATGTCATAACTTGTAAAATACTGTATATACGTATTCAAATCACAATCACAATATCAAAAGAAAAATTTTTTTTAGATTGTCCTTCAAAATCGCTCAGCTGTAAAAATTAATCAGCATAAAATCCTGTGGTATAGCAAGTATCCCGTTGGGTAAATATGAATTCAAAAAATTTCAATCGCGCTCACGGAATGAATTGGGCTAATTTTCCCTTATACAGAGCTTTAGTGTTGTCTTGTGGCATATAAAGGAAAGGCGTTTGTACAAAAGTGGGAAAGAGGCAAGTTTTTCAACAAAAAACGGAGGATAGGTTCAAAATAAAATCTTAGAGTTATAGCAGAAAAAGAATACCAATGTCATAACTTGTAAAATATATACGTATTCAAATCGAAATCACAATACTAAAAGAAAAAAATGTTTTTAGATTGTCCTTCAAAATCGCTCAGCTGTAAAAATTTAATCAGCATAAAATCCTGTGGTATAGTAAGTATCCCGTTGGGTAAATATGAATTAAAAAATTTCAATCACGCTCACGGAATGAATTGGGCTAATCTACCCTTATACAGAGCTTTAGTGCTGTCTTGTGACATATAAAGGAAAGGTGTTTGTACAAAAGTGGGAAAGAGGCAAGTTTTTCAACAAAAAAACGAGGATAGGTTCAAAATAACTTCTGTGAATATGTAACAAATTGCAAATGTGAATCCATTTTTGGTGGGGTACGGAGGATAGGTTCAAAATAAAATCTGTGAATATGTAACAAATTGCAAATATGAATCCATTTTTGGTGGGGTACACCTTGTAGAATCGTCCTTCAAAATCGCTCAGCTGTAAAAATTTAATCAGCATAAAATCCTGTGGTATAGTAAGTATCCCGTTGGGTAAATATGAATTAAAAAATTTCAATCACGCTCACGGAATGAATTGGGCTAATCTACCCTTATACAGAGCTTTAGTGCTGTCTTGTGACATATAAAGGAAAGGTGTTTGTACAAAAGTGGGAAAGAGGCAAGTTTTTCAACAAAAAAACGAGGATAGGTTCAAAATAACTTCTGTGAATATGTAACAAATTGCAAATGTGAATCCATTTTTGGTGGGGTACACCTTGTAGAATCCATCAATTCACTGCTAATGCCACTTGAGTTTTTGTTGTTGTTGAACTTCCAAATCCCTTCAACAATGTTTCACACATATTCCCTCGAAGTGGAAGGCGACTTCACAGGTGTGAATTTGGGGACATAGCGGGCGTTCTGGTGGCCTTTGGGGGGGCAGTTCCAGCACAGGAGCCCCCCACCAATCAGCAGCAGCACGGCGGCCGCCCAGCCCACGTACAAGGCTGCCCCCAGCTCGTAACGCTGGGCCTCAAAGACCAAAGGGTTGTAGAAGTTGGTGACGATGGCGTGGGCCGACCACGACACGGGAATGAGGCACAGAAGCCCGGATACGAGGAACAGGACGCCAGCCAGGATGGACACCCTGGCCTTGGAGGCCTCCTCCTCCATGCAGTTGGTGCACTTGCCGCCCACGATGGACAGCATCACGCCGAAAATCCCGGTGATGATGGAGATGATGATCATTGCCCGGGCGGCCTGCAGGTCTTGTGCCAGCGCCAGCATGGAGTCGTAGACCTTTTGTTAGAGTTGAAATGACTTAAATGATATCCAGCGAGGTCGAACAAGCTTTTTCTTATACAAAATACGTGCCCTGACTTGATGACGTTGGCCTTCAAATAAAATGTTCCTTGTATGAAAATGTTATTTTTCCCTTACGGCCCTGCCCACGCCCCCAAACTATTTTTGTGTTGGTGTTTTTCTGTAATTAGGAAAAATTGCAAAGTATTGAAATGTACACATATATATATATATTTTTTGCAAAAAAACAAAAAAAAAAAAACAAAGTTCCATTTCTTTTGAAGTGAGTCCAGCTGAGTTCATTGCCCCCATACAGTGCTTGTCTCTCAAGTTTACGTGCGCATGTCAAAGCAACAACTTGTGGCCCACTATCCGTGGTCTTTCTCACTCACTACCCTTGTCCTACTTCAGGAAGATGGTGTTGTCGTCGTCTGATTTTATCAGAGAGCAACTATCCCTCCAACCACAACCAAAACTCAACCTGCTTAGCCATTAGTCCATGGTGAGCAAGTGCCATTTTGTTAGCCAAATAGTTGCCTAGTTATACTTCAATGTTTGTGGAAAATAAGGAATATAATGACGGAGAACAGCCCAGTTCCCTTGATTCAAGCTCTGCCGATTATCATGACCTCTGGGAATTAAAAAATATACAGACAATAAAATAAATAAATAAAATAGGCAATTACGCTATTAGGCTAGCAATATGTGCAACTTTATGTTCCGTCACTATCTATCTATGATTGTAGAGATTTTCAACCTTGCATTGCATCTGTCCCGTGCTCTGCACCACGCAGTTCATCCACAGGCCCTGCCAGACAGTCTGCGCCGTAATGATGTTGGCTCCCACGAAGGCCGTCACCTTCCACACGGGCAACGCGCAGACCACAATGACCATCAACCAGCCCACCGCCGCCATGGAGACGCCGATCATCTGAACGCCCTGAGACACCATCTTGCTGGCTAACGTCCAGTCAAAGAAACGAGCGGGGGCGACGTGAACTTTTGTTTTTATAGTTTGTTTGGGGAGAAGTGGTCACGGTTACAGCGAGGCGTGTGACAACGCAATCCTGGCCTCCTATTGGCTGTGGTGAGTTTACACAAAAACACAGGTTGAGTCACCTTCAATGGTGCTGACCTGCCACAAATACTCCAAGGTCAGAAGGTTGCCATTCTTGGTTGCCAACTAAGAGTTAAATATGCCTTGAAATTTGGTGGCTAGGTTTGTAAATATTTTTCCAAGGACACTTATAACCAAATGTCAGATTTATGCAAAGATTCGTCATAATTGTGCAGTAGATCCTACATAATCAGAGCTTTCAATTCACCAAAATTTAAGGTCGACAGAGTAAATGGTTTCATGTTTCTTTTATCAAAGCACTCTGACCCATTTATTGGTGTGTGCTAGGGCCCGATCAAGAATGAATTTTCTTTTTTTTAGGCTGATGACGATTCCAATATTTGGCAGAGTACATTTTCGATAACCGATTAGATTGAAAAAGTATATAATGAATGAAATAACTTATTTTTTTGTCATCCCTAATTGCTTACAACACTTAGATATGGATTAAAGGCCGGACGTTTTACTTTTTTACAATACAATGTCCTTTTGTTTCACTTTACAAAATACAAAAACAAAAGAATTGGCAAAAAAATAAATTTAAAAATCGAGCGCTGGGTAATGTTTGATTGTAATTATCTTTGTCTGATTCTGGAATGTCTTAATGTGTGTAAAACAACACCAACAACAACAACAAACAAACGATTTTAAAAGTGCTAATTTTGACAGTATCTGTCTTTGAAACAGAGAGAAATACCTGCAAAATTCGGCCATTTTTTGCTATTTTCAGAGTTTTTTTTAGGTGTCATTATCTTTGTCTTGTGTTCAAATATTTTAATATGTAAAAAAGCCACATATTCTTATCTGGGCTACGAATTTGGGCACTGTCAAAAAAAAAAATTATTGCTCCGCCTGTTTTTTCTCCTCAGGTCAGTACAGTACAGCAGTATTGCTTTGGCGCCATCAAGTGGCATCTTGGTGTCAAGCAAGCATGTCGAATTAAATTGAGACCTAAACATGTATTCATTTACAAAAATGTTGTGCTTTGCTACCACCTTGTGGCATTTTAAGGCAATTATAAAGGTTTTGAGAGTCGTGTGGACAACGGATTTTCATCATGACTCAGACCTTCTGCCCTGTGTTTACTGTAGTGGAGGTACACGGTAATATAATTACTGAAAAATGCCACAAGATAGCAGCAAAGGATTACTTTTGTGTAAATGAAGATTACGCTAGATCTAAGTGTATTTACGTAATTTTCGGGAGTGTCTTAGGAAACGTTTAGTGAATATTTAATACGTTTTGTATTACTGTAAAGTAACTTTTAGGGATTAGCATAGTGTAGGGGTGAGCAACCAGTCAGAGACGAAGAGCCAATTTTTTTTACTGCGTTACGGCAAAGAGCCACACACACGCACACACAGACACACCCACACACCCACACACACACACACACACACACACACACACACACGCACACACACACGCACACACACACACGCACACACACACACCCACACACCCACACACACACACACACACACACACACACACACACACACACACACACACACACACACACACACACGCACATACATACACGCACACACATCCACACAATCATGCACTCGCTCACACACGTATTGGGCACCCCTGCCTTAAAAACAGAGGTAAAAGCTGACTAGCTTAGCACTTAGCACTTAGTGCCGTTGTCTGCGCATGAGCGGTGATTCAGTCATCTGATTGGTTGCCCTCTATGTCAATCAAGTAACGGGACTGGTGATAGGCTGACGTAGTACGTTCTATGTATTAAGCACTGTTGTTTTAATGGCAGCACCATCGTCGAGGCGTTTTCGACAATTGTCGTGTGAAAGCCCAGGAGCCGCATTGAACCAGCCAAAGAGCATGCAGCTCGCGAGCTGTGGGTTGGCCACCCCTGGCATAGTAGATTAAAGCGTATTTTTCCTAAATTAAAAAGTACTTACGTAACTTTTAACATTGAGGCAACATTTAGGGAATACAGTATTTTGTAAATTGAGAGTATTCAGTTAAATTTTAGGTATAGCAATAGTGTATAGGACCTCTATAATTTTTTTATGAAGATGAACATTTGGGCCGACTATGCAACTGTATTTTGATTTTGGTCTTTCTGGTGGTATTTGTAGATCCAAATTTGAGGTGGCACTTGGAGTCAATAAAAATTTTGTTGGCTGTCCAGCACACGGGGTTGAGGCACAGCGCCCCCGCCAGGATGAAGACCACGCCGGATGCCAGACAGATTTTGACTTTGGTGCCCTGGTCCTGCACACATTTGGTGCACTTGCTGCCCGCCATGCACAGCAGAAACCCCAGCACGCCGAGCAGGATGGAGATGACGATCAGGGCCCGGGCGAGGGCACAAATGGACAAACAGGCGTTCAAACTCTCATGGGTAGTTTTCAGGGAACTGAACATTCATGTTTACGAAATGTTGGTGGAAGCTAGAGTGCTTGCAGAAAACACAGCAAACAGTAGACCTTGCACTGTGGCGGGCTCTGGATGAGACAGGACATTCAGAGGCCCTCCCATATGTTCTGCCACGCCACAACGTTGATGCCTTCAAAGTCTCTCACTTTCCACTGGGGCAGGGCACATACAATGATGGTCCCGATCCAGCCCTGGCCGCAAAGTGCGGCACCAAGCATCTGGAAGACCGCTGACACCATGTCCAAAATCCAAATGAAGTTCTCTTGAGTGTTGCTGCTTGAAGGAAATGCTCAGGTGAATCTGTAGCGCCTCTTTTATACACTTAACACACCTGCTTGCCGTACCCCCCGGGGCATGTTTCAACACGTAGAGTGACTGTTGCAAGAATAATGGCCGCCTAGTGACTCACTTGAAGAAGCTAAAAAAAGACTTAAGCGCTCCTTCTAGTGCAGGGGTCTAAAAGTTGCTTTCATCATGGAGCAGGTTGTAGGAACATTTGGTTATCAGGGTGAAACCAAATAGATGTAAAATGGTGAGGTGTGAAATGTGATCTAAAAATTGGCTTTAACTTCACGTTTGGGTCCACAGTCGGAACAGTAAAGGAGCAAACCTGGTTCCAGTACATTTCTGGATATGAGCGGGAACTAAACAGAATTAATCCACCTCAATTCAATTTTCAAAAGTATCAATAGTGTACAAAAACACAACATAGCAGCATAAACAGTGCAACATACACCATCTGGACAGTTTAAAATCAATATATATCTCATAACATAACAAAACAAATCAATGAGTTGCGTCCTACCCACCAGAGATGCTGATTATAAAATGTATGAATGCGTGCTTTGTTAGTCATAGTTTTGCTCTGACCAGCCAAACAGTGCACATCAAAATGCTGATGTCATTAAGGGCCAGCGCGCTGACCCTGTGAGGATGAATTTGAAATCAAATTGGTTCACGAAACACTCCCATCGCTAATATAGCTGAAGCCAGCACAAGTGATCGTGAAGACTCGAGGAAGAGTAGATTGACATGCAAACACGTAAAGGCTGAAATTTGATTTCATTTTCTCTACAGTAGGCTGGCAGGTGAACCGAAGCAGATACCATCTGACTCTGGACTGGTGACCAGACAATTGCGGGGCACATATGGACAAACAGGCGTTCAAACGTTCATGGATAGTTTTCAGGGAACCGAACATGCATGTTTACGAAATGTTGGCGGAAGCTAGAGTGCTTGCAGAAAACACAGCAAACAGGAAGTCTGGCGTGCTTCCCAGTGCAAACGACAACAAGAAGTTCAGTCACAGTGTCATTAAGATAAGATAAGAAAACCTTTATTAGTCTCGCAATGGAGAAATTCCCAATTCACAGCAGCAAAGTTATGAAAGGAAGAAGTAGAACAACAAAATATAGGAGCTGCTGGAAAGGCAGCCACGAAAGAGGAGAGGATCAAAGTGTCCTTGGCTTTCACCAGTGGATCAGAGACGTCATGCTGAAAATGTGCACACGTCTGCTACAAGCTAAGTTTTGAAAGCTAAAAGTCACCATCCATCCATCTATTATCTGATCCGTTCATTCTGGAGCCTATCCCAGCTGTGTTTGATACCCTGTAACCCAGGGGTCGGCAACCCAAAATGTTGAAAGAGCCATATAGGACAAAAAAAAACCCCAAAAAACAAATATGTCTGGAGCCACAACAAAATAAAAACCTTCTATAAAACTTACAATGAAGGAAACACATACTGTATGTATGTAGGAGACTGGACTGTCTCAGAATTGTTTATGTTATTCATTCCTTTGTTGTGTGTTCACAAACGCCTCCATAGAATTTATTTTGTGATTTCTATCGCTTGATTTTCTGTTTTGGTGCATTATTTTCGCTTTTCTTAGTGTCATTGAAGTGATAATTAATTTCCGTTTTTCGGAGGCTGTCTTTGAACGCCTCTTGCGTAGAACGAGAGAAGAGAAGGCACGGAGTCGGACGCGGACGTGTCTCTGTTTGTCGAGACTGTTAAAAGCATAAATAAAGTGTACGTTTTAAAAAAACAACACCACAGCTCTCCTTTTTTCAGAGCTGCAACATGTATCTATATCCATATGAGCTATATTAGCCTACTATCAAAATGACTAAGTTTGCTACAATTACACGATGAGCCTTCATGATTAAATGTTTTTTTTTTTCGTGCAGTGCATTCTGTAGAGCAGGGGTGCCCAACCTTTTTTGAGCGAAGATCTACTTTTCGTTCAACTAACTTCGACCCGCGCATACACAACACATTTACAGACGATGCCTACCTACCTTCATCGAGATCTGATGCGGAGGCATGAACACACTTTTGCACCATTTTTGACTATCGTAGCTCACGTGTACCGTTTTAAAAATGCTTTTCACGGCCCTCCAGATTCTCTTTGCCAGTACCCTAGGTGAATTGTACATGAAACGCGTTTTTAAAAATTTTATGATTATTATTATTATTTTTTGAAAAGGCCTCCTGCCTTGCATCCCGCCCTGCTAATAGAAACGTGTGTCGCAGGCTATGATGCAAATCTTCATTGACAGAAACGTTGAAATGTAATATTTATTCTACACATTTTTATGTCTCGGCAGCACACGCGTACCAGCACTGATTTTTTTTGATTGGGAGGAATGTCGGCGCCATTTGACTGTCGTTGCTGGACATCCACGGGGCGCTTGTGTCTTGCGCCTGAAGTAGGCAGCATTTTCACCGCCCCGCTTTGTTCAGCGAAAAGGTCAGTGCTGATGGACAGTCTGCGGCTGGATGGATGCA